AGAAAGTCATGCAGTTAGAATATGGGAATTGATGCAGGTTCGCTCCATCTCACTGCCATACTTCAAGCAGGCAATTGCAACCTAACAACCTGACAGTATACAAACTGAGACAATGCAACCCATGTGCCCATGTGGTGCAACCCGAACATCAGCACGTATTTGTTCAATACCACTGGTTTGCACGAAGGTTGGGAGAAAAACGTGCAATTAGAATATGGGAATGAATGCAGGTTCGCACCATCTCACAACTTTATTTCTAAGCAGGCAATTTCAACCAAACAACCTGCCAGTATACAAGTTGTGCGAAGTGCGAAGCTGTGCCAACGCAACTCATGTGGAGCAACCCAAACATCAACATTTGCTTGTCCAATACTACGGGTTTGCATCAAGGTTGGAAGAAAGTCATGCAGTTAGAATATGGGAATTGATGCAGGTTCGCTCCATCTCACTGCCATACTTCAAGCAGCCAATTGCAACCAAACAACCTGACAGTATACAAACTGAGACAATGCAACCCATGTGGTGCAACCCAAACATCAGCACGTATTTGTTCAATACCACTGGTTTGCACGAAGGTTGGGAGAAAAACGTGCAATTGGAATATGGGAATGAATGCAGGTTCGCACCATCTCACAACTTTATTTCTAAGCAAGCAATTTCAACCAAACAACCTGCCAGTATACAAGTTGTGCGAAACTGTGCCAACGCAACCCATGTGGAGCAACCCAAATATCAACATTGCTTGTCCAATACTACGGGTTTGCATCAAGGTTGGAAGAAAGTCATGCAGTTAGAATATGGGAATTGATGCAGGTTCGCTCCATCTCACTGCTATACTTTAAGCTTGCAATGCCATACTTCAAGCAGGCAATTGCAACCAAACAACCTGACAGCATACAAACTGAGACAATGAAACCCATGTGGTGCAACCCAAACATCAGCACGTATTTGTTCAATACCACTGGTTTGCACGAAGGTTGGGAGAAAAACGTGCAATTAGAATATGGGAATGAATGCAGGTTCGCACCATCTCACAACTTTGTTTCTAAGCAGGCAATTTCAACCAAACAACCTGCCAGTATACAAGTTGTGCGAAACTGTGCCAACGCAACCCATGTGGAGCAACCCAGATATCAACATTGCTTATCCAATACTACGGGTTTGCATCAAGGTTGGAAGAAAGTCATGCAGTTAGAATATGGGAATTGATGCAGGTTCGCTCCATCTCACTGCTATACTTCAAGCAGGCAATTGCAACCAAACAACCTGACAGTATACAAACTGAGACTATGCAACCCATGTGGTGCAACCCACACATCAGCATGTATTTGTTCAATACCACTGGTTTGCACGAAGGTTGGGAGAAAAACATGCAGTTAGAATATGGGAATGAATTCAGGTTCGCACCATCTCACAACTTTGTTTCTAAGCAGGCAATTTCAACCAAACAACCTGCCAGTATACAAGTTGTGCGAAACTGTGACAATGCAACCCATGTGGTTAAACCCAAACATCAACATTTGCTTGTCCAATACTACGGGTTTGCATCAAGGTTGGAAGAAAGTCATGCAGTTAGAATATGGGAGTTGATGCAGGTTCGCTCCATCTCACTGCTATACTTTAAGCAAGCAATTGCAACCTAACAACCTACAAGTACCAGTATACAAACTGTGACAATGCAACCCATGACGTGAACCCAAACATCAACATTTGCTTGTCCAATACTACGGGTTTGCATCAAGGTTGGAAGAAAGTCATGCAGTTAGAAATATGGGAATTGATGCAGGTTCGCTCCATCTCACTGCCATACTTCAAGCAGGCAATTTCAACCAAACAACCTGACAGTATACAAACTGAGACAATGCAACCCATGTGCCCATGTGGTGCAACCCAAACATCAGCACGTATTTGTTCAATACCACTGGTTTGCACGAAGGTTGGGAGAAAAACATGCAGTTAGAATATGGGAATGAATGCAGGTTGCGCACCATCTCACAACTTTGTTTCTAAGCAGAGCAATTTCAACCAAACAACCTGCCAGTATACAAGTTGTGCGAAACTGTGACAATGCAACCCATGTGGTTAAACCCAAACATCAACATTTGCTTGTCCAATACTACGGGTTTGCATCAAGGTTGGAAGAAAGTCATGCAGTTAGAATATGGGAATTGATGCAGGTTCGCTCCATCTCACTGCTATACTTTGCAAGCAATGCAACCTAACAACTACAAGTACCAGTATACAAACTGTGACAATGCAACCCATGTCGTGAACCCAAACATCAACATTTGCTTGTCCAATACTACGGGTTTGCATCAAGGTTGGAAGAAAGTCATGCAGTTAGAATATGGGAATTGATGCAGGTTCGCTCCATCTCACTGCCATACTTCAAGCAGGCAATTGCAACCAAACAACCTGACAGTATACAAACTGAGACAATGCAACCCATGTGCCCATGTGGTGCAACCCAAACATCAGCACGTATTTGTTCAATACCACTGGTTTGCACGAAGGTTGGGAGAAAAACGTGCAATTAGAATATGGGAATGAATGCAGGTTCGCACCATCTCACAACTTTATTTCTAAGCAAGCAATTTCAACCAAACAACCTGCCAGTATACAAGTTGTGCGAAACTGTGCCAACGCAACCCATGTGGAGCAACCCAAATATCAACATTGCTTGTCCAATACTACGGGTTTGCATCAAGGTTGGAAGAAAGTCATGCAGCTAGAATATGGGAATTGATGCAGGTTCGCTCCATCTCACTGCTATACTTTAAGCTTGCAATGCCATACTTCAAGCAGGCAATTGCAACCAAACAACCTGACAGCATACAAACTGAGACAATGAAACCCATGTGGTGCAACCCAAACATCAGCACGTATTTGTTCAATACCACTGGTTTGCACGAAGGTTGGGAGAAAAACGTGCAATTAGAATATGGGAATGAATGCAGGTTCGCACCATCTCACAACTTTGTTTCTAAGCAGGCAATTTCAACCAAACAACCTGCCAGTATACAAGTTGTGCGAAACTGTGCCAACGCAACCCATGTGGAGCAACCCAGATATCAACATTGCTTATCCAATACTACGGGTTTGCATCAAGGTTGGAAGAAAGTCATGCAGTTAGAATATGGGAATTGATGCAGGTTCGCTCCATCTCACTGCTATACTTCAAGCAGGCAATTGCAACCAAACAACCTGACAGTATACAAACTGAGACTATGCAACCCATGTGGTGCAACCCAAACATCAGCACGTATTTGTTCAATACCACTGGTTTGCACGAAGGTTGGGAGAAAAACATGCAGTTAGAATATGGGAATGAATTCAGGTTCGCACCATCTCACAACTTTGTTTCTAAGCAGGCAATTTCAACCAAACAACCTGCCAGTATACAAGTTGTGCGAAACTGTGCCAACGCAACCCATGTGGAGCAACCCAGATATCAACATTGCTTATCCAATACTACGGGTTTGCATCAAGGTTGGAAGAAAGTCATGCAGTTAGAATATGGGAATTGATGCAGGTTCGCTCCATCTCACTGCTATACTTCAAGCAGGCAATTGCAACCTAACAACCTACAAGTACCAGTATACAAACTGTGACAATGCAACCCATGTGGTTAAACCCAAACATCAACATTTGCTTGTCCAATACTACGGGTTTTGCATCAAGGTTGGAAGAAAGTCATGCAGTTAGAATATGGGAATTGATGCAGGTTCGCTCCATCTCACTGCCATACTTCAAGCAGGCAATTGCAACCTAACAACCTACAAGTACCAGTATACAAACTGTGACAATGCAACCCATGTGGTGAAACGCAAACATCAACATTTGCTTGTCCAATACTACGGGTTTGCATCAAGGTTGGAAGAAAGTCATGCAGTTAGAATATGGGAATTGATGCAGGTTCGCTCCATATCACTGCTTGACTTTAAGCAAGCAATTGCAACCTAACAACCTACAAGTACCAGTATACAAACTGTGACAATGCAACCCATGTGGTGAACCCAAACATCAACATTTGCTTGTCCAATACTACTGGTTTGCATCAAGGTTGGAAGAAAGTCATGCAGTTAGAATATGGGAATTGATGCAGGTTCGCTCCATCTCACTGCTATACTTCAAGCAGGCAATTGCAACCAAACAACCTGACAGCATACAAACTGAGACAATGCAACCCATGTGCCCATGTGGTGCAACCCGAACATCAGCACGTATTTGTTCAATACCACTGGTTTGCACGAAGGTTGGGAGAAAAACGTGCAATTAGAATATGGGAATGAATGCAGGTTCGCACCATCTCACAACTTTATTTCTAAGCAGGCAATTTCAACCAAACAACCTGCCAGTATACAAGTTGTGCGAAACTGTGCCAACGCAACCCATGTGGAGCAACCCAAATATCAACATTGCTTGTCCAATACTACGGGTTTGCATCAAGGTTGGAAGAAAGTCATGCAGTTAGAATATGGGAATTGATGCAGGTTCGCTCCATCTCACTGCCATACTTCAAGCAGCCAATTGCAACCAAACAACCTGACAGTATACAAACTGAGACAATGCAACCCATGTGGTGCAACCCAAACATCAGCACGTATTTGTTCAATACCACTGGTTTGCACGAAGGTGGGGAGCAAAACATAGATAAGCTTTTACACACAGCAACTTTTACACAACAAATCATTGAATTTATTCAATCCCAATGGTTATTGTTATGGTTTACCGTATCGGTATGCCTTGGCTGTGCACTTTGGAGTGCGTGCACACGATGAAATGCACAGTACAATATGGGGCAATACACTACACGCATTGTACAGCACATCATGAAATCAAAGGCATCGATCGCAGGAAGAAAAATACTGTAAACAACTGGAAGGGAAGTCGGTGAACAAGGTTTTGGATGGTTCGGGATATTCTAACTGCAGTTGGTTTTTTCCAAAATCCCATATTCTAACTATAAGCTTTGTTTTTATGATTTTAGCAAATTCTATCTATTTTACAAAAAATCCACATTCTAACTGCCAGTCGGTTCCTGTAAATGGGTGATTCCATGAAAAATGGTGGATGTTCCATGATTTTCCATGATTTTTCCATGATTTTCCCATGATTTTCCATGATTTTCCCATGATTTTCTGGTAGTTTCCCAGGCCGGTGGTGCCATGTTCGCCGAGGCACTGAATTCCACCATCCCCAGTGACCACCAGGGCTCGCCCCGTCCGGCCACGCACCAGGCTGGCGACGATGCCAGCACAGAGGCCATAGCCCATGGTGCCCAAACGTTCGGAGGATAACGTCCTGACGGAAACAATGGCGTGAGGAGAGGAGACTCATTTCACGGATAGGTGAGATTAATATACTAAAATATTTCTGGGTTAGATTAATATGATGTACATTTGAGATGGTGATCCGAATATTTGACAAGAATCAAATATATTCAATAATATATCTAATAGCTAATATGTTCAGACTGGCGGAAGGATATTGAAACATCTTAAGACTTAAAACAACAAATTTGCCAGCTGTTTGGATGGGCGGAAACCTCTGCTTCCACTGGCATCCCTGTTCCAAATTGGGGAAAAATCATCTACACAGGGCATGAACTATGGTGAGCTATCCCCTCATAGACTTCCATGTCTGGGTCAGCCAGCCAATGTTTAAAAGAAACCTGTCATATCCTGGCATAGCATCCACGAGACCCCCTTCACCCACCTTTGGCCCTTGGTCAGCGACGCAGACAAACCTGAGTGGAGACATAGCACGTATAGAAAGCTTGAAGCCTCCAAACGGTTGGCTTTGGGAAAACTAAATTTTGCATGTAGGTGTCCATAACCTCACTGATCTAAGTGAATAGAAAATGCAGGCTGAAACTTCACCATTTCAGCATATTTCAGCCCAAAACACTTGCCCACAAGGTCACATCACCCACATCCACGCAAAGCACGTCATTGGCGCCCATTCGACTGGACATCTCCTGTGGGGTTTCTTGGCTCCTTTGGTTTAGGGGGAAGTCATCTTGGCGGCTTAGGCTGGACCAACGACTGGAACGTGCCCAAGTTGTGGATGACTTGCGTGCTGCTAATGAGGCTTTCCAATGGAGGGTATGGGTTCCAAATCCAAAGAAACAGAAAGAAACTCCGCCTCCAAGTTTGGGTAAGGAAGCTCCACAAAGTTCCAGCCATTTCTCCTCCATCACGGTGGCTGGATGGCAAAAGGAGCTACTCACATTGCTCGTGCATAGAAAGCGGCCGCCACTTTCGCGGTTCCTGAGCGATGCATATTGATGGACCACTTCGGGTTGATATATTCTTACTGCGTTGGACGGAAAATCTAGAGGAAACCTATGTCTTTTATGCAATCCGCCTGATTGGCCCATATAGGCAGCCAAAGGAATCGATCAATACACCAACTGGGCATTTGGTGAAGGGGATCCCTCAACTCATCTCAACTCTCTGGCTGGGACCCCAGGTCACTCCCAGCGTCTGTGCTGCACGCCATTTTCCTTCCCGGATGCTCTTCCAGAGTTGCTTGCCTTGGTCGGTTATGGTCGGTTGCTCCCCATCGTGAAACCGGAAACTGGCGGTGATCAACCAACATCAGATATCTTAAATAAGTACCACCCAAAAAAATGAAAAAGACACAGCATTTTTTTTGCTGGCCATCATTTATATTCGAAAGCTACAGCAACTCATTGACCTAGTTACATACAATCAACATCAATCAGTTAGAAGATTCAGCTCAGGTGCTTTCTTCAGACATTTCCAACCTGGCTGCCTGCGCGTTTGGTGTGGCCAAATGTAAGGTCGCAGCATCAGGTGGCGCCGAAACGTCCTAAACGTTGGATCGGCTGGGGCTGGGCATGGTTGGTGGCTACGGGCCGCAGCCGGTCATCATAACTCTTGGCGTTTGGCGATGGAAACTTGGGTGCCGTCCCAGAGAATCTAGGATCTTATATGTTGACACACACACACACATATATATATATAAATATATTGTATATCTTATGGACCTTCAACAATTCACACTGCATCTAACTGAGATAAGTCCTGCGACCACAAGTTTCATGGGGACCCGGTGCATTGCAACGGTGTTGGGCCTCCTTTTCTGGTCCTCTCCAGGTCGTAAAAACCGCCCTGCCAAGCATCCATGCCACTGTAGGCCAGTTCTCTGGACCAGGATTCCATCAACGAAATCTGCATGGAATCCCTGGCAGCAGAAGTTGAACAAAATCCGCCAAAACAAAGACATGTGTTGCACAGGCATGGGCCCTCAACTATATACTATATCCTTAACTCCATGAATATCGAATAATTAATCATGAATAAATATGAATGAACACAGTAATCAGTCAGTAATCAATTTGGATCAATTTACAGTACGTCAATCCAACCAGACTAACATCCTCCAATCCACCCACTTCGCTCCAGGTGACGTACCAGATTTGGGTGCCAGCTCTTCCAACAACCGCGAGAGCATGTATTTGATGTTGCCCACCACGTCGTAGAGGGCCCTGTACCGGGCGTTGATCTGAAGGCACATGGCGTCCGGCTCAAACTTGATCATGGGGCGAATCTGTAGACCTGCCCGGTTGCCTGAGAATTGCAAGGTCTGCTGCAAGCGAACCCCAGGTTCTCAAGTTGGTTGACTTGAGCTTCGAATGGAGAAAAATCCATGTAAACACATGGTTCCAAAACAAACAGCAAGCCCGGCCGCTTGCGCAACGCATCACAACCAGGTGACCGACAATTGTTTTCCAATGGTATTGACAAGAACTGTCATTCCTAAGTCAACGACTATGTCAGTCACAGTGCCTCAGTGCACCAAATTCATTCATCAGGAATTGCATGGTTTTAAAGTACAAAGAAATTATTTATAATCACCATCCAGTAAGCTAAGATAGATGTGGAGAACTCACGAAAACCCACCATATCGTTTTGAACGGGAAAAGCCATGGGTTTTCCACAGCAACTGGAGCCTGGCACCAGCCCGAGGTGCACAGCAGCAGTGTGTCATCATGGCTGCCGATGGAGATAATGAGCTGGGCACTTTCGATCACTTGGGTGGCTTTTTCCAAGCCTGATTTTCCTGGTTTTCAGTGGGTGTTGCAGTGTGGAATGGCAGTGCTGAATTGCATCTATGGGAGTAAAATGACATAAAATGACATAAAATGACATGAAATAACGTTAACATATGTAAAAATATAACAAAATGTGGGGGGATCCATTGTAGTACTAGGTTTCAATCCAGCATGTTCTTACCAATCTGCATTCTGTGCGCACGCATGTCACACTTTCAGATGTTTGCTGGTACGGTTTCTGTCACTTCTTCACCCTTCGAGTCTGACATCCAAACAATCCGTTGTTCAAATGATTCCCACCATGAAACCCATCGGCCATGTATATGTATACATATAGATGCATATAGATGCATATAGATACATATAGATACATATAGATACATATAGATACATATAGATACATATAGATACATATAGATACATATAGATACATATAGATACATATAGATACATATAGATACATATAGATATAGCCAATTATAGCCATACACTAGCCAGTATCATGAACTTCACCCGCTGTTGATTGCCCCTGATTGCCCGCCATTCAGAGGTTCCATGTACTCCGACAACGCCAAAGACCAAGGGATGTGACTCGTCCACGACGCCCTTCCTGGCCGCAGGGTATACTCATGATGAGATACCATCTGGTTATGACTAACAGTTTGCCATGGAAAATCATCATTTTGAATAGGTAAACCATCTATTTCTATGGGCCATTTCCCATGGCTATGTCAAATACCCAGAGGGTAATGGAGATATTTCATTGGGATATATCATGAGGATAATAAGTGCCAAAAACGTTCATGTTCACATGATTCACTTGCACACAAAGGCACTGCACTATGTAGAATCAAAAAAACAATGTAAAGTAACCCAGATGTAACTGTCAACTAGAGAATCTTCGCGTGCAAGAACCAGTAAGAGAACCGCGTGCATAGACGAGTTGATTCTCGCGTGTACGGACGAGGCAAGTATTGTTGCATGGGTACAGTCAGCATAGTGGGTGATTGGATATACCCTCCGGTAATTTGTTACATAGCTATTGAAAATGGCCATTTATAGTGAGTTTTCCCATTAAAAATGGTGATTTTCCATAGTTACGTTAGTTTACCAGAGGGTAAATCTATAAACCTTTCATTGTCCTCACATTTTGCGGTCCCGAGTCATTGGTGAAGCCCACCCCGGCCACTCGGCCACTGTTTGTCAAGTGTACTTCCGAATGGTTCTTTCATTGTGGGAGCCATTGATAGCATTGAAACAAGCTCAGCTGTCCCACAACTATCTTAATATTCAGTGGAAGCACCTCACAGAATTACATGGTATCAACATTAACATCCGTCAAATGCATTCACCTCATATGCATCACTGTTCCCAGCTGCGATATCATACCCCATCTCATTCATGAACCAGCATTCTCAATCCAAGAGTCTAACCATGTTCAACTTGTTCAACCAACTAACCAAATAAAACAGGGACATATACAGTAACTACTGCACAAGTTGGTTTTATATCAGCCACCATCCACCATCCCGTTAATCATCAACCCCGCAAATCGGACTATTTAAACATATGCTTACTATATTTATTAGATCATATATCCCATCATTAATCTTTATATCCCGTCATATCTTCCAGATAATCCCTAATTAACCCCCATCCCATCAACCCCAAGTTGGATCGAATGACTAGAAAAGTTGCCCCCTCCCATCGAACCCATGCAACCCATCTGGCTGAATATCACCAAACCACCATGTCAATGACATCACGATGTGAGGTCATGATTAAATTCAACCATCATCCAGATATAAGATATTCATTAGATATTCTCATTTCCCCCCATTATCCCACCATGTTTGTTGATGTCCGATCTTTTAATCACATGACAAACCACCATCATGTTAGTAAAGCAATAGTAAACCATCCCAAATTTTACACAAACTCACCATCAGTATCCATCAATCAATAGGTGACATAAACTATCAACATATGGCTGGTTTATCATTGGCTTTACCAACATAAATCCCCGTATCCCATAGATAATTGGCACATATATTGGCCATACTAACATTTATCATCATTAATCCATATGAATTCTCTCATCTATCCACTTCCCATAACAACCATCCCCTCCAAACGTCAGGCGTCGCATCCAAGCGCGTGAGCACCGGCGCTCCAACGCGCTCCGCCAGCTGCAGGATCTCCTCCCCGCAGCCCACGGCGCGGTGCCCCAGGGCGATGACCACGCGGCCGCTGCCGCGTTCGCAGGCGGCGCGCAGCTCGTTGGCCACGTTCCTAAACGAAATGCAGGGTGGAGCGAAGTTTGGGTGGATTAGATTAAGATAATGAAATCAACTATCATCTATAATGTTTGATTGAGTATAATCATATTGGATTGATATGATATGATATGATATGAAAAGATATATGATATGATATTATATGGTTGTGGATCATGGAAAGACAGTGTGATACTGTGTGTCAAACACTCTTTGGGGTCTTTTTGCAAAGAAAGTGCAGGCTGATCATGAAGAAACATGCGGATCTTTGACATATGTCAAGAAATTGATCATTAGAAATGGTGCACACCACTTGTCACAAGTTTAATTTTGAATTTTGACAGCCACCGAATATAGTGCAATTTGACCAAGAGGAACGGGGCATGTTGACCAAGAGAAACCCAGCTGCCTCGGCAGCATCTATTGGGTCCATTACGGATGGATGGTGATTCCCGAAAAGGTCTTGGGTGTTGACCCATCCCAGCCACCTGCACAAAAATCAGATGAATTTAAGCTCCCAACGTTCTTTGGATTTGTGCAGGATGATGACATTAATCTAAATTTATGAAAAACAAAACACTAAAAAAATCCGTCATAAGTTGTTCAAGTCAAGAAAAGTCAGACCAAACCCCAAACCACCGAACTGATATACCTATCTTCGCCTATCTTCATCAAATGGCGGCTGGGTCTCTTCAAGGTATGGGAATGGGATGTGGCCAACTCCACGTCGTCCCGCACATCCGCGGCGCAGAAAGGCTTCAGGGGCACCGGGCTCTCAGCCGCCTGAACGTCCACCGGGACGCCCAAATGGATACAGGTCCTGCGCCAGGGAAGCTCGGTGGTAAGTCGCACCACGTTTTGGATGGGAAAGTCATGGAGAGTCATGGGGCACTGAAAACGGCGCTGAACATAATCATGGCCAATCTTACATAATGTCAACCCCGGATTAATAAACCATGGTTTATTAATTAGGGGGGTACTCCCCAAATAGTCATAATCTGATACTTAAATGGTATCCCCCCAATTAAACAACCTAGGGGTTTATTAATCCAGGGTTGACATTACCTGGTACCTTGCATTTGTTTGATAAGCAGAACACTAAGATTGTACTGGAATAACCATTCGCATTGAAGCCAGCAACAGGCCATGAACAAACGACTCCAACGTCAAGAGCTCGGTGGTTCCTTAAGGTTAACGCCTTTGCGACGCCGTCGCGAAGCAAAGGGATCAAGGCATCTGCGGAGTGCACATCCAAACTTGTTGGCAGACCTGCACCCGGCGGCAACCTTTTATGGTGGGAATGGGCATATTTCATGGGACATTAAGGCACCATAAGGCACCATAAGGCACCATAAGGCACCATAAGGCACCATAAGGCACCCTTGATTCTGAAATCAGATTTTTCTCAACACAATATATCGTATCTCTATATCAGTATATATATATATATATCAGTATAATTCACATATATATATATAATCATCCAGCCAAATTAAAATGAATTCTCTGACCTGAGCTCGCCATGGCTGGGGGATTCCAAGCCTCCTGCGGCGAACATGCGGCTCTGCTGTAGGTCTTGGAACTCACCTCTCCGAAACAATGGCTGGGTGATGGCCAAAATGGTGGATTTAACAAGGCAAAATTAGGAGTTACCATGAGTTAACCAATTTTCATGGAGGTTTCATGGTGGTTTGATGATGTTTGATGCGGATGTGACCAACCAAAATAGGGATTTAACCTAACCAGACCAAATTGGATAAATTTGGGATTAAAGTGATTGTTTACTGGTTGTTGAATGGGATTTACTGGAGTAACGGGGGATAAAACCACTGACTGGTGACAATAATTTGATGGGTTATAATTTTGGGACATTAATTTGATGGGTGCTAATTTTTGGATTTCATGCGATATAATTTGGGAAATGGTGGTATGGGATGCCATTGCCCTTCAGGCTCAAGGGCGCACGTCGATCTCAGAGAATATTTTTCTGAGCCAGCACAGGGGATTTGAGCTAGCCCGGTGCCGTTGCAACAAGTCTGCACACGCGCCAAATACCTCCCTGTTTGAAGCATAAAAGCCCTCGGCGCTCAACATTTACTCAGCCCCAGCCGGCGAAACCAAACATGGATGACCCACCCACATGACTCATATCCTGATCATGATTGAATGATCATGCATTCAAAAGACTACAATAACAGGTCATGGCCAAGTCACTGTATCCGATCCCCGCGCGAGGCTTCAGCCCTGTGATGGCTACCATTGAGCACTGGTCCTGGAGCGCATCCAATAGACCTGGGCTCCATTGGGCGGGAAAGGAGATTGCGAACAGCCCCCTTTGTGCGCAGGATCCAAGCGGCCGGTGGTGAGATTCGATGCTCCAGGGCCAGAGGTGGCCACACAGACCGCCAGGCGTCCGGTCAACTTGGCATAAGCTGCTGCCATCAACGAAGCATTCGCCTGCGAGGATGGGCCGGATCCTGATTCCCAGTGGGAAGGGCCTGTTGTGAAACTCAAATTTGTTTGGCACCTTCGCAGCTTCGCACCTTTTTTGGACTCTGCAAAGAAAGAGGAAGAGGTACCTAAAAACCTTTTTGCACTGTGACTGAGCAGTTGCCACTACTTCTTGCAACTCCAAAGGGCCTATTCCAAGCCCCCATGACCGCAGAGGAACTCTGCCCTGCCTCATTTCGTGTATAGATCCATTTCACTCGAGGGTTTTTGCAAATGGCATTCACCATGGGTACCAGGGCTCCTGTCCGGCAAGGAACAATGCACCAGGTAGTTTGAACTGCTAAACCTGAATGACAATGACTATAAGATTACATGTGAGCTGGCCATGATAACCAATGCGCTTTGATATTTTAACATGTATGCAAATAATGCATATCTATATATAACTATATATAGATATACATATATGAATATATACATAATATATGTTTTTGTATCATACCCTTCGATGTTGATCAGAAACACTCATGGTCACTAAACGGACCAGTTCCAACATCTTCCACGCCACGCAGCTCCTCCGTGTCCGCCGAAGATGTGCGTGACACCTGCGTCCTGAGGATCACAGGCACCAAAAGGCACCAATGAACTGTGGTTTTCACTGGCAACTTCCCAGAAACACAAAACAACCCATATATAATATAATATATACATATAATTTTAATTATGTGACCTACCTGGAAATTCATAGTCATAATCCATACATCAAATATTTTCTGGAAATTCATCATCAAGGCCTATCTTCATCCTTGGATCCAGGCCCCTTACCATCCTGAATGATCCAAGCGCTTCCCCAACGTGAATCGGCCAAGTGTCTGCCAAAGCGTTGACCACCCATTCGGAACCTGGCCGCTGCTTCGATGGTTTTCCGGGTCATGAATTCCCAGCAGCCCTGGATTTAGCAAAAAAGTGGGGGATAGCCCAAGATTGCATGTTTTCACCATGGTAGGAGAGAATGATGATATGCAAAAATGCAAACCATGGGGATATATGGGGATATATGGGGATTGGGCGGCTTCCTGAATTTCTGGCCAAGTTGCAGTTGCACTTGGCTGGTGCCGGTGATGGCATCGCGCGAGGCAGGCTGGAGGGTGGCAACGTCTCATGTTCCTGCGCCACTCAGAAAGCTGGAAGCAAACCACCCATGAGAATCCCATATCTCCATACCCTCTGGTAAACATACAAAAAACTATGGAGAATCACCATTTTCAATGGGAAAATCAACTATAAATAAATAGCCATTTTCTTGCAGGAAAATCAAGGGATGACTCAGGGTCCGGTCATGGCCCAGGGTCCGGTCCTCCATGGACTTGTCAATGAACCAGGCCTCCTGTGTCAAGCGGGGCAGCCACAAAATCACAGCTGGGTCACCTGGGGGAAAACATCACTGGCAGCTCACACTGTTCGCATTTACTTCCTATATGTACATACACCTAATTACAATCAATTGTGCTTTGCCCATCACATGTATGTATATATATATATATATATTTAATATATATATATATTTAATATATATATATATAGAGACACCCCATATATATCCATATATTTATTCTTATTTCCCTTAAGTTCGGCAGTGGAACTCCTCCTGTGGCCACCCTCCCAGTCCAGTCCACATAGCCAAGGCGCCAGGGTAAAGCTGCCCACGATACTGGAGGAGTCCAAGTGGTACACCTCCTTGACATCCTAGGAACTGCCGGTCGAGACGGTGCTTGATCAACCGCTCGGCAGTAGTATTACCCTCTGGTTATTGAGCATAACAGTAGAAAATTGCCCATGAACATCGATGATTTATGCATATTTATGCTGATGATGATGATTTTCCCTAGCCTCGCCACGCCAGAAAATGGTGACGTTCCTGTTACACTGTTACACCTGTTCGCTACGTAAGAAATAACCAGAGGGTAGCCGCTGGCTCCGCTGGCTCCTGGGGTCGTACGTCTTGGGCCCTCTTCGCCACGCAGCTTCTCCGCAGGGTGACCAAATGCGTGTGAAGCGACAGGGAGTTGTCTGCACCTGGGCCATGGGATGCCATGGAGAAAAGATGGATCCCTCTGGTAAACTAACAATAACTAACATAGCTATTGAAAATGGCCCAGTCGAAATAGTGGATTTACCCATGGTGATTTTCCACAGTTATGTTAGTTTACCAGACGATAGATATTTTGAAGAGCTGCTAAGTCTGCTACACTTTATACACTCTGTACATCTAAACATGTATTTCACGTTTATCAAGTAAATCTATAGATTTCAGCAAGAACCAACGGGTCGGCTTCTCAACTCCACATCAAAGTTGAGGATACTGTAATTCGGGATGAACATGGTATGCCTGAGGTGTTGGATACCCTGAGTGTCTTGTCATGCCATCAGGTATATATCAAGTGTATCCCGCATAATTTTGCAAAATATTGTCGATACTTCACCAAGCTGAAACTCGATGCTTTGGCATGAATTCCCCTAAAAAATGCGCTACAAACCCAGCACTTGCAAAAAGGGTATAGGTCCCAAACGAATAGCTTGGGGCGAATCCGCAAAGTTGAGGGAACCTCTGAAACAAGACCCCAAATAGGTGACAGTTCAAGTGGCAAACAGCATATTTCACACAAATGCGCTCAGCTATCATATCCAAACCCCTGGTGAGAAATCATGGTCACCATTTCAAAATATATGTGAAACCTATCAGAGTCTAGTGCACCTAGTCGGGCAATCGGACAAACCACAAACTCATTCTTGTTGACAGAATGTATGCCCTTTTGCTCGCTATTTGTGGCTATTCTCGCTCGCCATCTGTTGATGGTCTTCTTTTTCATCTGATCTAAAAAATCCAACCATTTAATTTCCCTTATGAAAATCCAGGCCCTTGGTGACACTCTCCCGGCCTCCCCCTGCGGAGCCCGAAGCTCCTTTGTACAGGACCTGGCGCCAGGTCACACAGCCTGCTTTTGGTGCTTCAAATGCAAAGTGCCAGCTGTATCCAAGAACCGTTTTTGTAGGGCGCTTTTCAGGGTGAACGGCGAAACATGTGAACAGTGTACAGTAATTCTTCAATTCAGTCTGGCTGCTGCTACTAAAAGTGCATGGTAGCTTTATGTGGCTTTGCATTTCTATTCTCTGCTGGTTTCTTAAAATTGGTGATCTTCAAACAACAACCAACATGTTATAGTATGTATAATTAGTCATTGTTATCAAAATATGTTAAAATCCCATAGAAGTGAGGGTCCCCAAGAGACCCCCGCCATCTCTTCCGCAGTCGCCAGCCGCACCTTATCCAAGCCCTTGATGCCCTTCTTCTCAGCCAGCTCCATATCTGCGATGAAGCCCACCACCACGCAGTTCACGTTGTGTTCCACCTCAAGTTGTGCAACGACAGCCTGGTGGTTGCAAGGCGTCCCATGGTTTTGCCACACTTTTTGGGAAGACGATCTTTTTGGGATCTTAGCCGCTCAGCTTCCCACCAGCTTCCTCTGGATCCTCTGAAGCAAACCAAAAACCAAGCCACATGTGGGGCGAAGGGATAGTACTTTTCCTTAGCCTCGAAGATGTTTTCCTTGGCCATCGTCGGCAGGGCAATAGCCACACCTGGTGCAAAAAGAAAGGGGAAAGCGCAGGTTTCTTGGGGCAAAGTTGCAAAGGGTCTGGAGAAAAGTAGGTTTAAGAGATTTAAAGATATCTTACGATATGTCAAGATGTTTCGACATGGTTTAAGATGGCTTAAGATGACTTAAGCAAGAAGAATGGGCTTAAGAATCCATCGCAACTCTTTCTGGAATATACCATGGGGTTGAAGCATATTGACATCAACTTGGAACGCCATGGATTTTTCACTCCCGCCCTGCTCCGCCCAGCCGAGTTTTCTTGTGGACAAAAGGATGCCAGAGGTGAGCGTCAGTCAACATCCCCAAGCAACCACCACTTCCATAGTTGTGATTTGACCCCCATTCTGTTTGGATAAAATCCCCCTGGAATGAGTTTCTCCCAATATTTTCAGACAAACCTGAGATTTTCCCCAAAAATGTAATAACATCTTCCCCTAAATCTTCCCAAACCCTCAATGGTTTTTTCCAAGGCCACCGCTCCCACTGGCCTACTAATTTCTCAAAATGCACCATTCCCCCAAAAGCGGCCCCAGCAGCACCACAGCGCGACTCAACCTGCCCAGGCCCTGCCCAGGCCCTGCCCAGGCAGTGCCAAAGGGGTGGAGTCGTTTCCACTTGCTTATTTTCTGGGTCTATGTGAATTAAGGTACGTAGAAAGGGAACAGCTTAGATCCACATTGAAGGCTGCCACCGGATCCACATTGAATTTTGTCAGCTTAAATATCTTACAGTAAATATTCAGAATATTTAAGGTAAGAACAGCTATACCGTGAATCTAAGTTGATCTGAAGAAAAAATGGTGGATTTCAACAAGAAACATGAGGATATCAATGGGCATTGATATGGATCTCGTCCATCTAGTGGATCTTGTCCGATCAGGCTGAAGCATTGATAACTTGGTTATAGTCTCCGTGTAGGTTTACGCTTGTAATCCCCAATAGTCAACCAACCCCCCCCCTTTGCAGGACATCATTGACATCATTGTGCCCCAAAGCGCTCCCAATGTTTTTCACCCAGTTGTTTTCAGATCTCGTTCCGCAAGCTGGATCATTGTACCATGAATAGCACCCATCAACAATATCCATCCTTGTGGGCACATTGTGGATTATAGACATCAAAAGAATACCCAACCAAGATAACTATACTGCGTATTGCATCCAAAAAAACAAAATGTAGATAGGTCTGATTCGATTTACCCCTAAGTCAGTAGGAGTGTACTTTTCTCACTTTCTTCGGATTGCTCAAAATGCTCCCAGCTATATACTACCAGTTTGTACAGAAATTTCCCATTCAAACCATGATTTTCCCATTCTCATTCAAACCTCCATTTATAGATGATTTTCCCAGCTACAAACCTCCACCGAATTTTCGCTACAAACGTCTATAGCTGTGATGAGTCTTCCATAGATTTCCCATCTATTTCCCATGTTTCAAAGGTGATTTCCCAGAAATTTCCCAAGTCCCACATAGATTTCCCCCATTTTTGGGGGATTTCCCATTCCCAGGGATTTCCTGGGGATTCCCAGGGCCCTGGGGCCCAGGCATTGGTGAACATATCGTTCAAGGCCGATGTCCAGGTCATCCCCCCGTGCAGCGTTGTGGCCACGAAGTCCGCTTGAGCATCCGAGGGGCCTCGGCATTTTTAAAGGACCAGGAGGTGGTTGAGAAACCCTGGTTGGATAGATATATATATATATATGTGTAACTATATATATATAACAATAATATATAACATATATAACAATAATTATATATAATTAACATGATTGCGTATGATTATGTAAAATTAATTATAATATTATATAATTATATATTATGTGTGTGGGTATATTCTTTTGACGAAAAAATAATTATATTTTTTTGGGGAGGCATTGTCTACGATTCTATCTGTCTGTCTATCCGTCTATCCATCCATCCATCCATCCATCCATCCATCCATCCTTCTATCTGAGAATCTATCTATCTGTCAATCCTGTCGTGTCTTGTCTTATCTTATCTGTCCAAATCTTTTTAATCTAATCTAATCTCGTTTCCTGGGGCTGCAGTTTTGTCGACAACCTGGCCTAGTGTCTCTACATTCTGTTGTGTTGCCACATGATTTCCAGTGGATTTTGCTGTCAATCTAATCTAATCTATCGTATTGTATAGTCTCGTATCCTATCCACTTCAATCCAATCTAATATTTATCCATCCATCCATAATCTATCCATCTATCTCCGTGTGTGTGCGCGTCCTAGATACAAAATAATTATGATACAAAGAAGGTAATTCTCCAGGCGGTACAATTTCCTGCTGCAGCTGCGCGGCCGATGAAGCCTGCGGCTTCACAGCGCAGGTAAGGTCCGTAGACCGTCTTGTAGTACTCGGAACCTGGACGTGCCATTGATACAGTAGCATGTGAAGCGCCAAAACCCTGAAATTCATGGGAAGCCCGAAGCGTTTTCCATGGGTTTTCCGAAACCCATCACATCTGGAATGGGGCCCCCAAATGAATCCGGTACCAAACATGGGTGGTACTAAACCAGGGTTTCCTTTGGGGGCTATTTAATCTTAGAGGCATGTGATTAAGTAGGGTTGACTACAATAATGACCAATAATGGGTTTCTTCCAGTTTTCAGCATTTGGACAGGGGTTCGAACCCCCCCAGTTGCAATAACTGGTAGCAGGGCCCATCAGTCCCAAAGAATACCCCTGCCTACATGGGACACCATTGTACCAAATCACTTCCCTAACCTGTCACTTCCGTAACCTGGCAATGGTTTTTGGATGTTTTTGGAAGTGACGCTACATTCATTTCACGTATATGATTGCCGGTAATGCGCAAAGGGAGATGCCATTAGCCTTTTCTTGTAAATCTGCCAAACCCCATCAATATTTTATCACTATATATTCATCCTTGCAAATCATCATTTCTGATAGTTCACCACCCATGATGGTTAACGCATGTTAAGCCACCATTTTTGGTTAAATCATCAGTTCTGATGGTTAAATCATGTGAAATCTCCATTTTTCATGGTTAACCCATCTAAATCTGTTCAGCCCCCCATTTCCTTCCGGGATGTGCCATGGGAATTCCGCCCAGCCACTCCCCGTCCGGGTGGACTTCACAAAGCCGCTGCCGTTGAAGGCCACCATCTCCCCATGCGCGGCGTCGTCCCCGGGCGGAGCCGTGGTTCCTGGGCAAAAAACCTGGGGGTTTTGATGGATTTTTCCATGGATGTCTGATGGATGTCTGATAGATTTTGATGGGTTTGTTTGAGGGTATTCTGGATTCTTATGATTTCTTGGTGGATGTTTATGGTATGATTCAAGATTCTTTGGCAACTTCCAGTGGATTGGGGGGTGTTTTTCGCCAGGTGACCGGCTTCAAAGCCATAGCGAATCCCGGACATGTCAACAATCTGCTGCACCTGAGGTCCAGGGATGATCCCTGGAGAGAATGGTGGTTTAACCCAAGGTAAACATACAAAAAGCTGCGGAAAACCCATGGTTTGCCTAGGACAATGATCCAGAAAAGAGGGGTTTTCAAAATCGAGGGTAACCAGAAGAGTCAGATTGGATGGACATGGGATGCTCATATGGTCTCTTCGTCTTTTCAAGAGTCCGCGCAGAGCTTCTGGACGTACGGATTTCTATTGGACGCTGCCTTTGATTTTTGGCGGGGGGAACTCAGGTCTTTCTCGACAAAAAGTTAATCTTCATGGCTGCTTGTAGAGTCAGGATGTTCTACTTCCAAGATCTTCACAACTCAAAAAATTGCCTTCCGAGCACAGCGTCTGTGAGAACACCATGAAAAAGCGTGAAAAACAGTGATACACCTGGAGGCAGTAAAAGACCTGAGCATGTACTTGTGGAAATTCGATCATGCCTCAAGGACATTTTGGACTTGTTTTTATCCTTCTAGTCTAACTTCATTGAAACGAATGTTTATGATGTGTATATATATATAGATTATATATAGAATTATATATAATTAGAATCATTGCAAGACCAGTGCAAATTCACTTGCAAATCAGTATCAACATGTATCAAACATACCCAACTGCCCTATCTGGAACCTTCTCTGGATCTGGGTTGCCGTTGATCACCCAATCAACGTCCCCCAGGAAGGTCACTTGTCCTCTCTTCGGCATGTCACCTGTGAGGCTGTGATTCTGCAACTTTGATCCATTTTGATATTTTTTGGATAGGTGCTTGGTGGTTGACAACTGGCGTTGTTCATGTGGAGGTTCATTGGGCTTTTTGTTTGCAGTATTTTGGAAACATGTGGAAACCGATCAGCACATGCTGCGGCCATGATGATGGTGATGATGATGACGACGACGAAGACGACGACGAAGAAGACGACGATGACGACGATGAGGATGAGGATGAGGATGAGGATGAGGATGACGATGATATGAGGTGATGTGATATGATCTGATGTGATTCGATTTATTCGATTTATTCGATTTGAATCTGCTGGTTGAGAATAGCTCCTTTAAATCAGCAACATCTCAGGCGGAGGATTGAAGAACGTGCGAAAGGGGACCCTGGGCGTGCTGCATGTTCTGTGAGGCCACTAGTTTGTATGCCAGTGATAGTAGGATCACCAGACACTTCCTGACCCACAAACGGAAAACGTAAGCATATAAATGCTTGTTGCATACCATGGGCTTTGAGAGTTGCTCTGAAAGAAACACATTCAGGCAATTTGAGGGAAGATTGCCACAAAACATTCAGAAACTAGAAGGTGAAACACGGCAAATCGGATCAAACCGGGTTCTTGGGGTTTCCCGTTTGCATCTCTCATGTTGTTCTTCCAAGTATCCTCCCTTTGAAGGCCGTCGTGGCACCGAGTAGTGGATCGTATCGCAGTCGAGACCCTGGTCAGTGCAATGAGCTCGAAATTCCTCGGTTAAAGGTCGGGAGATCTTCAGGCCATTCAACCAGCCGATTGCACCAAGCTGGTGTTGAACACACACGCAAACCTTGCTTCAGATTTGAGTGATTTTTTAACGAAAACCACAACGACTGTCACCATCAAATTTCGGGGTTTTCCCATGGTCTTCCAGTCATTCTTGGATTTGTTCAATGGATTGGTTTTGTTGGGAAAATCTACAGGAAACCATGGTTTTTACCATCAAATATAGGGGTTTCCTGTAAATGTTCCCATCATCCAATTCTTGGATTTGTTGAATCAACCAATGGCCGGACAGATGCCCAAGCGTCCGCCAGCGACCCCTCGGCCCCTGTGGAAGTGGTCAAGCTTCCGAGACGAGGAACCTGAAGGGCTTGGAGAAATGATTGAGATGTGCTAAGATTGGACATGGGACACCGTGACATGGGATGAAATATATACAGCAAATATTATAGTATATCGATTTTTGAGAAGCTTGAAGATACACCGCATTAACAATAAAGACATATTAAATAAGACTATACCCTTTGTGCCATGCCAGCCACTATTAACCTATGCCGGAGTCGAACTGCAGCAGGCCCTGCCTTGACGTCCATACATCTTCTCACGACCTCTGCCATGCTGCCACAGGGTGCCACAGGTGCCACAGGTGCCACAGGTGCCGTGAGTCACAGCAGCAAGGGCCACGTCTGGATCTTCCGCTGTTGACGTCTGGATCACTGGCATACTTTAGGACCTGGAAGGTAGATCTCTGTGATTTCCCTGTGCAGATCTCTGTAGTGATTTCTGGTGCTTTTCAGGTACACACATGATCTGATGCCCATGTCATGTCGTGTCATGCGCCATCTATCTGTGCTAAGAGCTGAGTCAACGATGTCAAAGGCAGTGACGACTGTCGTTTCACCTGGACCGTGGTGCAAGAACCCTGGCCCCCCGGACATCCCCGGACCTTAGCAGCTGGACCCCTCTGTTGCGGCCTTGCGCCCCATCCAGGTCCCCGGACCTGGAAGCGCCCTTTTGCGCCGTGCGTCTCGGCAATTCGATGGACTTCAAATGGGCATCACCGAAGCTCAGTGGCCAGCCACTGCTGGTGACCAGCCCTGCAGCGCCACTATCCACATTTACCGCTTGCTGGCTGATCTTATGGCAGGCCGAAAAGCTTGAAACTGCTGTGCTTCACTTGGCCAGAACGAGGCAGGCATACTGGCTCTTCAAGATTATTGAAGCATGTTATGTGAGGTATCTATATAGCAACTGAATAGGGGCAGAGCTTCTTCTCAAAAAGTCGACTTGAACTTTTCAACTTCGTCGGGTTTCTGATATTTCTGTGATTCTTTTTCAGTTGCCCTGTTGCCCATGGCCATGGAAACCTTTTAAATGGTTCTTGCCGCAAAGCATAGCAAGACCATATGTTGCGAACCGAAACTGAACCAGAGCTACCAAAAGGGACTGACTTCAATATCTTCAATGATCCTTATGCAACCAAACAGCCGGCCAGTGATCGTTCCCTGCACAATCATTACAGTCCCATCCAGCAATCTCTGTGAAACGGGTTCTCGGGAGTTCGCACGGTCGATGTATCTTGCACGTGCACGCAGAGGCTTGGAAGGGCCTGGATTACATAGTCATGAGTCAATGTTCAACTGTTCGCCACAGCTGTTCAATTTCAGTCCTAAACATTCTTAAAACCAAAAAGAAGTTCGGTTTTGATCTTCTCTGGGTCGTTATACCCAACAATTACCCAACAGTTTGCAGCTTAAACTGGAAACATCTGGAAACACATTCCAGTTCTGAGGTACCAGCTTGACCCACACCTGTCTATATGGCTACTGTATGGATCTGGGATGCGATCTTAGCTCCCCCCAGATCGTTTCAATTAAAAAAAGTGCGAAGGTTCCTGCTGAGGGCAGGACCAAGATCAAAGGTGAGCAACGGCCTTTCAAATTTTCGACCCCAAAGAGAGAGAGAAATCTCCTGTGGACATCCGAAATCCACTGGCTAGTGAAGAACGCCAGTTAAACTGTTCTAAATAGCGACACAGTAAACGATTAAATCCATGATATTTACATATATTTACCCATCACACTGGGGATTTGCATTGAAAGAAAATCCAATGGACATCTTAGAAGAGCTCCTCAGAAGAGGTTTTCATCATGTTCTTGACATCTCTGAAAATTGGGAACGTCTCAAAATATGAACTACAAACCTGCGGGGGGCCATCTATGCCTGGCCGCTGCTCAAAGGGCGTTCATCTCTGCCTTTGCTTCAGGCACCGTGCTGTAGATGTGCCCGTCTCCTTTGAATTCTTGGATCCAAGCGGCTTTCTTTAGCACACGTCCTTGTAGCAACAAGTCAGGAATTACAAAGGCCAAACGACAGCCTGCGGCAGCCGCGAGGGGAACAGAAAAAAGCACCTGGGATATTTATCATCGAAAAATTGCGCGCAACGACAGTCCTGGTTTCAATCATTATCCAACTATAGTTATGTAGAGGGAAAACTTCTTGGAGAAATGTATGAACAATCATCCACTCACTTCGAGGAGCAATTTCTAGGTGGTTTGTGTCAGCGACTGAAGGGTCAACAGCCATTCTTGTTGGTCAAATGCCGAAGTTTGCTATTACGGGTCAAACTGAAGCTGATTTCTGGTTATGTATAGGTCATGATGCCACATTGATGAGTCATTGTCTGATGCTGAGACCCTAGTGCTTGGTAACTAATTAGACCTAATGTTTTATATTTATATTGTACTGTTACTGTTCAAAATCTGTAAAGCCCATATTTGGCTGGTTGAACCCCCATAACATGTCACCATTCAAGATCAGCCAGACAATATCAACCCACTTTTGTATGTATTTCACTTTTAGACATCAGTAAGCCTAATTCTAAACCCAATTGTTTAATGAGACTGCATTTCACTATTCAAAATCAGTAGAACCATGTCAAACCCCTATTTGTGCAATGAGATTGTACTAGTCAAAAACAGTAAAACAATTTCAACGCCTTATTTGTTGATTGACATTTGACATGTCACTCTTCAACATCAGAAAAATAAAACTTCAACCCCCAATACCGATGTTTTAACGTTCAAAATCAGTAAGTTCCCTTCCTGCAACTAACATAGACCTTGCATATGACCTTGCCATGCCTTGCGGGTTGGCAGACTACATGCCTCTAAAACGCAGTGATGTTCAGGATCTGTAGGTTGATTTGGGGATGGTAAAACACTTTTCCCATTGTAAGATGCTGGTTATAGTCAGAGTCATAGTACTATAATTATCAGTCATTTAGGTTCTTTGACACCTAAACTAAACCATGGTGTAGTATACAGTATACATTGCCGTAACATTGCCGTAACATTGCCGTAGCATTGCCGTAACATTGCCGTAGCATTGCCGTAACACCCAAGGTACACCTCATCCAGCCCCTTCCCGGCCCGGTGCCTGAGGTGTTGATCTCTCGTGCCACTTTGGCCAACGTTTCGGAGCCGTCGATGTCGATGCGGGTCACGTGCTCCAACGACACGATGATACCTGTGTTTTGCAGGCCCAATTTAGGTGATGTTTGTTGGTTTATAACCCCATGAACTATAGTTAAAATATGTTACTAAATTAATATCAATTAATCATCATATAAAATAACTATACGGTACAGTAGGGGAAGCCCATGAACTATAGTTAAAATATGTATAAATATGTTACAATTAATCATCATATAACATAACTATACGGTACAGTAGGGTTTATGCATTAACTATGGTTACAATATGTTACAATAGCCATAGCTATCTCGGGGGGCCCACCTTCTGGAACCTTTTGTTGAGGTCCCATGAAAATGCCAGGGTTGTTTCACCGGAAAAGAAGATTCGTCCCTTGACATATAGGAATTTGATAAGGATGCAAAATATGAGATAAGGGGAATATCTGAATATACACAACCAACATACCAACATACCAACATTCTGATATTCGGGTGAGTTCGAAATTGGCTTCTCGGAATTTTGGTTGGGAACGAAATGATTAACGAGTGGACTTCGGGGTAGTTGTCCTGCTTTCAGACAAACCCATGCACTTTCTGGATTGTAGAGAACATCTGTGAGTTGACAAATCTTCCCTATAGAATAACAAATAACCGTCGTTTCGAAAATGAATCTGATGAGAATCTGATGATATTTCCAATCAGCTGCAACATGGAAATATACGTGAGAAGTCAACCAATGCATAATATATCATGTGTACATGCATACATGCATGCATATATATATATATATACATAATTATATATTTACATATAACTATATACATATATATATATATATATGGATTACCGGGCAGTTTGCCACACCATTTGCAATCATTTAGCTTTTTGAGTTGCTCAATGGAGGGGACCTTCAGCCAACCAGTGGGAAGACGAGGACGGGTAGTGTTTGGTTCTGGTGGCTATGGACAGCATATAGTTTGAGGATGAAAGAGCGGCTTCAATAAATGATTGAAACATATTTTCACACACAGTATGAGCCCAGAAATCCCGGGAAAGCAATCCACCAACAGGGCTATTGGGTGCAATGCATCCAGTTGAAAGAAAGGCCAAACTAGTTGATGTCATCCTCTGCCACTGAACACAACCAAGCCAACCCTGCCTGGAGGACTCTTGGCTGCCAGCGCTTGCAAACGCGATAGATGCTTGCTGGCACATAGGAAGGTCATAGAACCCATGGGCTCGTAAAGCACCACGGATTCATAATCATGTTCATGGAGGTCGTTGTCCATCTGCTTCTTGGGTTTGCCACATGCGAAGCGCTCAACGATGCCTTGCATGGTCCTTGGGTTGCTGGTGATGGTTGCTGCATCTTGGCCAAGTTAGGTTCCCATGGACTCCAAGTACCCCCAAACAAATTGCACCTCTGTATGTGCACACCTCAAGGCTTGCCAGTCAACATTCCTTCATAGATTCTACAATGATGCATACATTAATTCGTTGTATATATATATGTGTGCACAAATTATATAATATATATTAATTTGAATATATTCGAAAGTACATTATATAATTATATATATATAATTATATAATTATATAAATAAATATACTATATGGAGGTTCAAAAATGGTTCAAAACATGACAAATTCGATTAGAATAAGGGGAAAACACTGGACCCTTCTTGACAGGCAGCAACATAACGTTTAATTCCAATTCCCCGAACGCTCTCTCATTCAGGAGACTGAAGACTCCTTTTGCAAGGCCAAAATTTTTAAAATTACATCCATCGAAACTGTATGAAATCCGGCATGTCTTTAACAAAAGACACCTATCCCCTTCTTTTGAAAAGGACCCTCCACCCAAAACAAAACAATTAATTACCCCCTGGTACCGTGGGCAGGATGTTCAGCAAAATGGCGTCAGGGGTGAAGGCTTCACTGCAATGTTGGCACCGTGGTCAAAGCTGGAAGTGGCCCACCTGTCCGAGGCATTCCGAGGTTTCCGAGGCCCTGGCGCCCTGTGGGAACCTACGAATCGCAACATGGATCATAAAAACTTCCAGGGAGATTGTTAACGACAGTTGAATGGATCCGGATCAAGAAAAACCTTGAGGATGTTTGATGTGATTTTTTATATATATATTCTTCATGATTTTCCAAACATGTCTCATGGCAGCACAGAAAGCTCCACATACCGAGGCACTTGCGGAGGACCCCATGGCTGGTGGTGATGGGTGTACCAGTGCTACTCACCTGGGGTGGCCATCATTTGACATGGAAATTTGACTGATTTTGTATCATTATTGGGATAGTTTACCCATATCTTCACCCAACATTTGGCCAAAACTCGGCCAAATGTTCGTTTTTTTCGAATGAGGGCGTGCAAATCGTTTCAACCCACAAGAGTCAACTGCCAATTGGTAGGTACCCTGGCTGAAGAAATGGACTCGAAAATTGTGTCCTCCAAAATCCCAATGGTGATCATTTGTCCCATTGAAGTTCAAACACCCAAGTATCACATGGTTAAACAATGTTAAACACACCATATCCCAAGAACCATATTCCCACTATATATTATATATGTGTAGAATAGTAGAATATCTATATATAATATATTATTATATATATATACATCCCCTCATCATGTTCCCACATGTTGTATATAACCAGCTCCATCTTCTCATATGACTGGTTAAACCCCAGTCCTTCATGGTTGAACCATATTAAACCTCAAGTTAAATGCTGGAGGTAAAATCATCATCAATATGCAATAAAATGTGTCCACTGTACATCCCCCTCAACCAACACAAACCCTGCCAAATAGGGGTTTTGGAAGATGAGTTTCACTAAAAACATTGGCCATTGTCAGGGTCATTCAGGGTCCTTGTAAATTCAGTTTACAGACATCTAGAGGATATAGCTACACTACCCTCTGGTAAATTGACATAACTATGGAAAATCACCATTTTTAATGGGTGAATCCACTATAAATAGCCATTTTCAAGCTATTTTGACATAACCAGAGGGTATATTCCATGATCTTCCCATCTTCAAAGCCATGAAATCCCTATGAAATCCATGGCAGCGACCCTGAGAAAAAATCTGCAGCCAGGGCACGTATGGAATGGCCTTGTCCAAGGTCACCCGGCTCTCCGCGCGCGCCGTTTCGGCCGCGTCGCGGAGAAGTGCCACGACCATCCCAATCACCAAGCCATAGACAGGATCCAGGAAGACCTGGGGTGGCATTGCCATGGCATTTTACCTGAAAAAAAGAAAGTTGTTATGGGAACCCACCAGAAAAAGGATGGGAACATATGGGAACAGTTGAAAAGCTGTAAAATATGGGGAACATATATCATTTGGGAACATGTTTCTATCTTTTTCTGGGGGCTACTATAGTGGTATAACAAAGAAATACAAATGTGGAATATGCAACTGGGGAAATGGGTAAAACAATGTTTCTACGGTGGTCCCTTTTTGGCGGGGTTGAGGGAAACAAAACGGTGAGATTGGGGAATTTCATGGGGGTTATAATGGGGAGATCTTCGGTCGGGTTTTGAATTTTAAGTCTTCCCTAAAGATTTTATAGATTTCACAACATTCAAAGATATTGAAACCAACAAGCCTACTTAGATCCAAAGAGTTACAGGAGTTAACTTGTTAGCAATTGGGTGTTTTCCCTTACAGCTTGGTGCTATATAACCAGACACTAACCAGTTGACGAACTCCATGGTCCATCTATTTAAGGAGGGGTTCACAAGGATTTTAGCGGTGGTCATGGGGATAGACAAGGATATATGGCACATGGATGCATATGGCACTGACAAATGGTCGGTCTCAAGCCCAATTTCTTCCATGGCAAAACATGAATCCTTCACGCAACGAGTGTTCCAATGAAGCCTTACAGGCTTTGTGTTCAGGCCCTTATGCGACCCACACATGGGGGATTCATGGGGATTCACAATGCTTCGTGTATGTTTCCAGCAACCAGGCAAAATCAGGCAAACACGTCCATAATTACTATATATTACTATGTAGCCTTCAGAAGGAGAAAAAAAAAAACATATGCAAACTGTGAGGACCACTTGGGATCCCGAACAACAAGAAAATGTTTGGAATAATCCTCCACAAACCTCATATTTGCACCATGGGTTGCAATGAAAATATAGCACCCCCAAATCGGTTTATCGTCTTATCCCCTATTGTTACGTTTAAAAAGTGGGGGGCCATGCCCGCCACTTTCAAACACACCCATCTTTCATCATATTTAATCCGATTTCACCCAAAAAAGCTGGAATTGGGGGGTTCCCAGAGTTTCCAATTGTTCATCTACTTGGTGGTTTCAACCCCTCTGAAAATATTCGTCAGATTGGATCATCATCCCAACTAGTCGGGAAAAATACAAAATGTTCCATCATCCACCAACCAGATATATTGTTATTCCAATTATTAACCATTATTAACCATAGATTAATCATAGATTAACCATCATCCACCAACCAGTCAAAGGACGCAAATGCAAGTGGTCATAATCAGCAGGAAACAACTCCTCCGATCGTTTCGCCATAACATGGCGATGTAACTCACTGGGGCCATGCGAATGGACGCGAAGACCAGCAGCGCGGCGACTGCTGCCTGTGGGAGGTAGGAAAACACCGGCATCGCCACCACGAAAATCAGGAACCTTGGTGGCAAATGCAGATTTTCAGTTGATTCAAGGATATTACAGAGATAGATATCAAGGAAATCAGAGGAAATCCAAGGACATCATGCACCAGCCAAATTTAGGCGTTCCGGCCAAATTCGAACCCTGTCGGAGAAATTTGTGACCAACACGGACCAACACATTTGGACAAAAATTAACAAACTGCTGAGGATCGTTGGATCGTGGAGCTTGTTTATGGAGGCAAACGAGCAGTTTGGCACATGACCCACTGAGCTGCTTGGTAGTTTCCAGACACCCGAGCTAGGAAGAGAGACTTGTAACTACCCCCTGGCGATTTAACATAGCTATGGAAAATCACCAGTTTTCATAAAACGGTAAGTTGTTGAACCAAATGGGCCACCTATACCGCCCATTCAGATTGGAGATCATCCAATGTGATGTTCCTCCCAAAGATGATTTCAGAAATGATACAATTATGACGTTGACATGTTTTGACCCATCCCTATATATAATGTACCCTCTGGTTATTTAACATTGGCCATGGAAAATGGCCCATTTATGGATGGTTTACCTGGGTTTACCTATTAAAAATGGTGATTTTCCATGGCTATGTTGAATAACCAGATGGTGTATGAAGTATATGTTAAACATCTTGAAACCACCAGGATTCGTCGTTCCAGAGAGTCACACTGCAATGGCATTGATCATCTGAGACATGCGATGCGTTGCTTGGAGCTGTACCTCACAGCCACGGCCACGGCCCTATGAGCGCTGCCATGGTGGGAATGGCACGACCATACAAAAAAACAAGGGGGACCCTGGACAGGAAGCAAAGGACCTGGAAAATCATGAGGTGAGTTCTTGAGTCTTGGATACTAGTACAATTCATATACAATTAGCTTGTTTTTTCCCAAGGAGCAGGCTTGCCTCCGCAACCCACGTTATATTCAACGGTTTCCCAATTAGCCAAAGGTACATTTAAAGAGGTTCGCACGAAAACGCCGGTCGGTGGCAATGCACCAACCGCTCCACATACTGCATGGCAGACCATGAGGCCCAATGTCTCTCGGCTGCTATCGAACGGATAGTTCATCCTGCAGACAGTTGGAGGTTTCCTGAAATGGGGTATCCCAAAAATGGATGGTTGTTCCAATGGAAAATCCTTTTAAAATAGATGATTGGGGGTACCCCCATCAGCATTTTAGGAAACCACCATCTAAGTGTTGTTCTTTTGGGGGCTTGGGTCTTATACACTGGTGGAGGCCTTCGCCAATGACCACGCCCGGCGCTAAGAGGGGTTTACTGGAAAGGGTGCCTATATGCCCATGCTTTCCATCATCTGCCCTGAGGGTGCCTTTGTATCCTTTGTAGTTGCCTTCACAATATCTGTGCCCTGTTGGAACGGCTTAGAATTAAACCGCAATCAACTTGCCACACTGGGGACATACCGGAACACTAAAGTTGCGCGTGCAAATGCATCCTGGAGGCAGGGTTCAAATGGAGCGCACAGATACACACAAATATCGGCTGTAAAACCGCTTCATCAATTCAAACGTTGAAGATAAGTTGAATGTCAGTATCAAATCCTCCAAAGAACATCTGTAAAAGCACAATGAACCTCCTCTGGCAGGGTAAGGTCAGGCAATAACGTTGAGCCATCAGCCATAGGATCTATAGGTCTCTAAGCAGAAAGATCCTTTCACCAGAACTGTTGGGACATCCAGCACTTCGTTCGCGGCCTCTGTTCAGCAATTTTCGCCGAGATGAGCGTCTCCAGAACCGCCACGAAGGAAATTCCGAAGGCGGTTCCTCAGCTTCAGTCACAGCAGTTTGAAATTGAAGAACTAACACTAACTGTTGCCATCCGTGTACCTTTAATGCCAGAAAACCTGGATTAGTATTGGATCTGTTGAATTTGAGGCCTCTTCATGGAAGTATTCAAACAGGATTATTTCTTCAAGTGTCAAGCGGGTATGGTCTGCGTCAAACAGAACATCCCAAACACCAAACAAGGTCCGAAATGTCTTGGGTCCATGATGATCCAGCATCAAGTGGATTTGCCCCTTGACCAGATTCATGAATGGGTACAGTAACTATAAAATTTATCATTAGTCTGAATTTGTCAATTTCCCACAGATTTTCGCGATGCCACACATGAATCCCCTATCATCAAACATCCCCAATGGTAGAACTCCCCGTTGTAATTAATTTGGGGTGGTGAAACAGGGAACTCTCTGGGAGAACGAGGGACGAATGAGGTCCATCACATGTCCCTGAGCGAAGTCCGCCAGTGGGGTGGAGGGTGCTTCCACCACGCGGGGTTTCAAAGTGCCTCAGTCGCGCGGCAGTGGCGAATGCCCTCTTGAGAAAACCATGGTTTACCATCATCATCCATCATCAAATTCCCGCTCGAAGCTCTCAAAACGATTGGGGCAAAACCAGGGATAAGCACCACAAGTTGGATGGTTGATGATGGCTACCCATGGCATTCATGATGGTTCAGGATGGTGAATAATGGTTGACATCCAAAAAATGGCCACACTTGACTCAGACTCATAGAGATTTACAGATCACGTGCTGCACTTGGAATCCAGTCTGTCCAAACTGAAGGTCAACTGGAACAATCCAAGCCTTTTCGCAGCCAAGTGACCGTACTTGTCCTTCAAAGTGGGGAGGACGATTCCTCCCAGTAGTTTCTGGTCTGACAAATAGCCCAACAGAATGGTGAAGACGGGAATGAGCACCGTCCATGGGATCGACCTGGCAGTGACGATGACGTGATGTCGACAGGATGCCCTGGTTCACAATTCACCTGAACCTTGTGTGGTCAATTACTTGTACATTGACGCCGATATATGGGGATGGGTCAAAACCCTGGTACCTATAGTAGTGAACCCGAAAATAGCTGGTAAATGGATGTTCATCACACTAATTAAATGGTATTAATAGGTATTGATCCATACCCATATCATTATATTATAATATAACATAGTCAGTCAGTCTTTGCTTAATCCAAGTTTGTGGAACTCGTTCTTGATTGTTTCTATTTCACCTTGACTCATATCCATCCCGGCAATTTAACACAGCGATGGAAATCGCTCATTTAGTTCGATGATTTACATATCAAACATGGTTACAGTATTTTTCATAGCATGTTATGTACAGTAAATGTTGTCAAAATTATCGGGGACATGTGGATCCATGACGCTTCCAAGATCTTGAAGACTTCTTTAAGCATCGTCGGCATCATCCGCATCCCCCGGCCGTGTGCCTTCCTTTGATCTTCCCAGCATACTTCACAAGTGTCAGAAGCCTCAGCTCCCGAGCTCACACTTCCAAGCGACCCAAATCCCAAAGGACAAAGGTACGCCAGGTACGCACACCTGGGGGGACATCTGTGGCCTGTTTCCTGCAGATATTGACATAGTATTAGCATGCGTCTGTGGCACTAGATCAGTAGCAGGCTTCGCAAGTAGCATCCAAAAATATCCGAAATAGTTTCTCTATATGGGCTGCACCGACATGAGAACCATATAATATCATATAATCATGTAACGCCGATGGCTGTGTTTCTTTTGATTTCTTATGTATCTTCTTGTGATGCTTGACACCTTGGGATGTGCCCATCTAATCTATCCCAGCGCCAGAGCACAGAGCTGTGACCACAAAGAAAAGGATGGCCGGTGCCAAACTATAGCCATGGAGTGCCTCGAGCGAGCGAATCAAATTCCTGGGCGCAGGGACGTTGACGATGAAGGCATGGTCTTCCGGGTGCGTGCCAAGAATGCGACTAGTGATTAGTTTTCGAGACGACTAGAAGGCCCCATGTCCCATGTCACTTTCACTAATCAATGCTCAACCCACTCTGCATCAGAGATCATCAGAGCAAATATTCAGCAACAAGGTGGCTGGGTCAATGTCCAAGTTAAGTCCTCGGTGCAGTGGTCCCTCCCAAGTTGGCACATCATTGGTCCCAGGCGCTCATGAAAATGTTCAGACTTGGGCCCATCAGGGGACCTTGGCAGCACCCGACAGACCCATCCACAACTCAACTGGCAATGTGCGGGATATCTTCCCAAATGTTGCTGTTGTGCATCTCCATGTCTATTTCTTGAATCTCGTTTTGCAGGTGAAATCCAATTATTTCCATCTTTCACACTGAAAATCCATGAAGATCTCAGATCACCCTGTGTTTCCCCAGATTCTCTGGCCGTTTTCTCCTAGGAAATCCCCATCTTTCAGCCGTTCTCAAACTTTCCCAGCGGCAAATCCAAGGCCATCTCGAGCTGTCCAAGGCCAATGATGAAGGCCACTGCCAGGGTGAAACCTTCAAAGACCTAGCGCCCGCAACGGCTCCCGGTGACGCATTTAATGAGGTCATCCTTTGAAAAATCCCCCTAGAAATGGAGCATTTGATGTAGCCTCTGGTTATGACTAACATATATAGCCATGGAAGCCATGGCCCTAATCGAAATAGATGGTTTACCGAACTTACAAATGGTGGATCTTTCCATGGCGAACTGTTAAATAACCAGATGGTAGCTTTAATGGTCTAGCATGGTTAATAGTCATTTAATGCTGTTGACTGTGAATTTAATATGAATATCATGAGAACAGTGTGGAACGATATATATATATATATATATTAATTATTATTGATATAATATATATATGTATATACTATACCTAACAACCAGCAATATCACTAGAGAAAATTGAGGTTCTAAACCACTGGATAGTATTGTTGAGACCAACCAGGGCTTATCAACGGGAACATGGTATATTATGCCTTTGTTCATGTGTTAATATTATCGTATCGTCATTGAAATATTATAATTTAATCAATCGGAATATTATACTTATCTTTGCTGACTTTGATATATGCTGACAGACCTGGTTTGAGATGGTTTGATGCATTTGAACAGACAATGGATGATGCGAAGACGGGCACTCACGTAGACAAATATCTGCAATTTGGGCGAAAAATTGACCAATTTTATAAAGGGAGTTCAGCAAGAGACTGGGGAGTTCGCGCCTCCAGGAAATGGGATTATCAGGCCAGACATTTAATCCACATCGATTGGGGAGAGTTTCAACTGATATATCATTGGAAAATGATGATAAACCACTGGAATGTTATGATACTTCACTGGAAAATGATGATTTGATGGGTATGGTCCCGTATGGTACAGGTGGTGAATATGGTCAAAAAACAAATTGTACATGGGATAATCCCAGTAAAGTTGCGTGGGATAAACTATGTGTAAAACATGTAACTATAACAGTTCAACTGGTGTTCACTCCTGGAAGCAAACATGGATCAGAATTATGATATTGTAGACCCGAGAGGCATGATGAAGTAGGTTTTTCATATGTCTCCAATCTCCAAGACTAAACTGTTCTTGCAAAGAACTTCGAGACGGCTGGACAACCCGGGCCTGGCAACATCAAATCACAAATTGGCCCAGGAAAAAAACATGTTTGGATGATTTCCCAGTGCCTCATTTATGCCCCGACTTTGGATCGGAGGGGAAAAGCTGAGACCCTCCATCCCTGGACGTTTGCAGCAAAGGACCGCTGTAGGCATCAGAAGCAAATATCGTTGCAGGCCTGGCCAACTTCGGTTGTGGAGCGGGGCGATCCCGCTATCTGAGCGATCCAACAGCCCAGCCTAGCAAGTAGATGAGGAAGATGAATCCCTGGGCGATAAGACAAACTCCCAAGGCCGGCGAGCATGGAGCAAGGGCGAGTGATTGGTGAAAAGGCTTAAAGGTTTTGGGATTCAAGAACTGAACTCATGCCAGTTGGTAATTACTCTAAGGACTTATTTTTTTTACATAAATCCACATGAATCCAGATAAATCCACATGAATCCAGATAAATCCACATGATCACATATATGCGCATGCACAAATACGTGTAAAGAAAATGGCATCATCGGATGACAAATGGCCAGTCCAAGGAGCTGCGGAGATCAAAGACAAGTAGGGCAGAACCTGGCGCTTCGGTTTCCAATGTCAATTGCACCCCCCAATTTCCAGGGGATGATTTATGGCATTGGATGTATATATATATATGTGTGTGTGTGTGTGTGAAATTATAATGAATATTAATGAATTATATGGACAATTGTGGATACCCTCTGGTGAACTAACATAGCAATGGAAAATCACCATTTTTCATGGGAAAATCCACTATAAATGGCCATTTTCCATTGCTATGTTAGTTCACCAGAGGGTATATTGTTGGGTTTACCTCATCAAAAACCACATGGAAACATGGAAACAACACTGGTTGCCCACCTCCGCACCACCAAACTTGATGGTGGCCGCATTGAGCATGCCACTCAACGCACCTGCAATGCGTGGATTGCTTCAAGGGAAGATCCACCGGAAACCAGCTAATTTTGATCGTTTTCAGCCGACCCACTTGGGGCTATCCACAATCTGGTTTTTGTTCTCCCCGGGGAGTGAAACATGATTCAGCCCACATTCTTGTGCTGCACCCTTCCCGGAAACCAGCGTCGATCTCCTCATTGGATTGTTTTTTTTACCGGTGAAGTGGGGGGGAGTTTCAGATGGTTTCAGAGGTCAGTTGATGGAGCTGTTCCACAAAATTTCACTGTGGTTTTTCTCCAATGATAAGCCATCCCCAATATACCATCCATATGGGTGCCATAAAACATCCCCAAAATGGATCAAGTCTGGGATGCCAGCCTCGCCTGCTGGTCCGATGATATTGAAATCACTGGAGCTGAAGATGGATGCACACAGGCCTCCCCAAAAGGCTGTGGAAACACCTCAGCGTCGAAGAAAACACCCGATGCCACAGAGAGCCACTTTTAAGGTAACCCCTCTACATTTCAATGGGAAAAATCCTGGTTGCTTTCTGAAGTATGCCTTTTCCATAAACATTCGAAGAAACTTGGTTTCCTCTAGACTCTAGATGTTCCTCTTATAATGATCTAACATCATATCATATTATCATGTAACACGATATGACACGACATAGTATTAACAATTATATAAAAATACATAATAACTCTTAATCATGAACAGAAATATAGCACAGCATCATATTGATTATTATCATAATTATCTATTAAATCTATTAGTCTGGTTATTTAACATAGCCATGGAAAATCACCATTTTTAATAGGTAAACCATCTATTTCTATGGGTCATTTCCCATGGCTATGTTAAATAACCAGAGGGTAGATGTTTGAGAAACTCAATTCGTAGCTCCAAGGATGTCCAAGGTGCCCATGAGTGGTGCGCTGGGGTCGCCCCCAGCCGAGGCAATGCCCAACGAAATGGACAAGGGAACGCTCACCTCGGAAATCCATGGGACATTGATGGGATATTGATGGGATCCAATCATGAAATGTATGAAATCTGGAAAAAATGGATGAATTGAATGGTGATGAAATGTCATGAATCTGGGATGAATTGAATGTTTTTAGACCTCGACTTGTTCCAATACTTTGACCAACAAGAATGGGAATGTGGGAACCCAAGATAGCCGTGGAAAATGTCATGGCAATTTGCCCATGAAAGTCGATTCCTTTACCTATTCAACATATTTCAACACTGGCATTTTCCAAGGCAAACTGTTAGAATCTGTTAGATTACCAAAAGCAAAGAGGATCCAAAACATGGGGACCCTTATTCAACCCCACAATCGCCAGAATCTGTTCGTTTTGTCGTCGATTTCACATATTTCACCATCCCACTTTTTTGGGGCACCCAGTTGCGGCTAACGACTCGTCCCAGATCGGCTTGGCTATCTGCTATGGCAATAGATAGTGAAGGTTGAGCAGGGGGCCAACATAGGCCAACATAATTGAGGATAGAAGCAACAAACATGGAGATACCACCAACAAATTTCGCCTGCCTGGGGCTTAAGTGGAAGGAAACCCCAACGGGGGGACGAGATTTCACAGCCATAGATGTGGATCACTTCTAGATCACAGTCATGCAGCTTGGATGATCCCATTCCTAACTTCATGATGTAAAACCCATGGGTGCCCAAAACACAATAGCCTAAATTTAGGCCTTTTATTTGGGGGTGATCATATAAAAATATATAAAAATCATATAAACATCATATAACCCCCATCAACCCAGGGACTTATTCTGGGCTTATTCTGGGCTTATTGAACCTCCCCATCTCGGTATTCCGCTAAGGGACCATCGCCACAGTCACCCCGGACTGCCAGTTCTCCAGGATCACACGATGGAGCGGTTGATATCCCAGCCTCCAGGGGTCCAAACAGTGGTCGAAATGCCAAATCCCAATTTATGGATGTTTGATGATTTTTGAAATGGATTTTTGATGATTTTACGGATGTTTGATGATTTGTTTAATGGATTTTTGATGATTTTACGGATGTTTGATGATTTTTATGGATTTTTGATGATTTTTATGGATGTTTGATGATTTTTATGGATGTTTGGTGATTTGTTTAATGGATTTATGCCAGATACGGCTATGTCTGAAAATATGGTATACCACCTGGCGGCCGCCAACACGCTGAACATCGTGGGTGTTTCAATGGCTGGCTGAGGATTTACTTCTCCATTGGGCCTGTGTAAATGCCTACTGCGTACCATGTCAAAACATCTGCAACGCGGTAAGCCATAGTAATATATAGTAATTTAGTATAAACCAAATAATAAAACTGGGTGGTATACACAGGTACCTTCAATTTGAGGTTTATGAGGGTACCTCATTAGTGCTAAGTTTTTTTCATAGCCATTCCCAAGGCACTCTTCGAAACTAGGGCGCGGCGCCTGGTCTTCAAAGCACATCGCGGGTGGTTGACTTCTGAATGGGCTGGTTGCTCCGTACTTTCCTGGCAATTCCTTTGATGTTTTTGGCACGGGCATTGATCAGTGGTGATGGACACCCGATGAACTAGTGAAAATGCGGCATAGTTTATATACAATCCCAAAATTGCAATTTCAATAGGGAAGATGATAAATCATGATAAATCATGATAAATCATGATAAATCAATGCTTTCGGACAAATGCCTACTGGTGGCATCGTTTCGACAAAAAAACACATCACTCAGCCGACCTATGGAGTCCTATGGGGCTCTGCCGCTGTCGCTGATCCAACAGTGGGCGGCTCATAGTGGCTGAATTTCAGCCCCGAAATCTCGCTGAAAGCGACAACACTAGGACTACAAATGGGCCAGAAATTCGTTGATCAATGTTAGTCAACTGGGTTAGACAGTTGTTAGTCAGCATTTCTTTGACCTTTTTTGCCCAGTTTTGTGAGGGGATCCATGGCCCAGCTACTGACTCCATGGCCAATCCACACGCCTCAGTGGAATGCTCCATGATCCCGCTAGCTGGTTAACGGTTAAGCCAATCAAATGCTGCGACACAGGGATATACTCTTCGGATTTTGAATGGAAAATCATCTGTGAACTCACGTGGGTTCTGGATTTCCGTTGGATTTCTATTGTGTTCATTTGTTTTCCGTTATATATTCTTGGCATTCTACTAGCATAGGTCGCCGCTGAGATTTTGTGAACCACTTGAAGCCGCACGTGGACTCAAGATGACTCAAGAGGCGGCGGCGACCTTTTTGCACTCAACCGGCGACGCAAACTCTGGAGCCATCTTGTTCATCCCCTTCTTCCGGGTCTGCTCGAGCCCGGGGGGAAGCCGCACGAGTCCAGGCCTTGGACAAGCCACATCCTGGTCGGCTGACTTGGTCCAATGGTCCCAATGCTCAGTGCCCGGACGGGGGATCCGCCATGGATCGGCATGGGTATGGATTGCACTGCCCCACCTGGCAGGCTTGCAGCGCTGGAGAATCATGTTTTTTTTTGTTTCGTAGGCCTTAGCCCACTTGCATAAGTGCATGTTGCCACCATTGGCACGGGTAGGAAGATTACGAAGTGAATTGGCAACCAGGTTGTTTGAAGCCAGATGTCCTCTGCTACGCTAGATCTAATTGGCCAATTCGACATCAACGAACCGGGCTGCATCAAATCCCTGCAAAATCTACACATGTGCAATTTTCACTGCTTACGATCTATTGGCTATTTAAATCGGAGAATGTAAACCGGCCCCCGCCTTCGAATGATATTCGGAGGCCTCACAAGCCGTGGCCTTCAGCTCAAATGATAGCAGTGATTTTCGTGAAATTCCACTCATCAACTTCATTATTAAATGGACCCAAGTTCCATCATGTTCCATCCACCAATGACCCATGAAATGAATCGCCAATGTTTTTCCATGATTGTCCTGGCCAACACCCCAGGATTCCAGATTCTCGCGCCGAGAATCCATGGCCATCTGTGTAAGTTGGGCTAGGCTGCAGGCGACCTTGCGGCACTATGCTGTGTTGTTTGGGTCGTTGCAACATCCTTTCCGTTCATTTTTTACAAAAAATGTTCTTTTCCATGGCAAGATTTTGGGCACAGTAGGTGGCACACATATTTCCATATTCGAGCTGAGTTTTGGGTTTTGTCAAAGTGAAAGTGTAGCAAACCCCAAATAAATACAGTAGAAAACTATATAGGGGGAACATCATCTATACCATTCTGGGAACACGTTTCTATCTTTTTTTGGCTTCCTCTATGCACTGAAGTGATTTTCCATGGCCCATTTTTCCCCATGCTGGCGATGTGTGTTGCCACCCTCGGCCTCCGAAGCGCTGGACAAGGCTTTGTCGTACTCCTGGATTGAACCGTCAGAAATTCTACGCATCAAAAAGTGGTGGTCATTGGCCGCAAAAACTCGGGAGATTAACCTTGATTTGATGGGTTTTGATCACCAAATAATGGATGAATCCGAGAAATTCTGTGGATTATGAGTACGGACATATATCTTCAATTATACAATCAACATCAATCAACTACAATAGCATCATCGTTTTTGATGCGTGGTGAATAACAAAAAGAAACACGGTAAGAATATGTCGGTGATTCAAAACGATCTCTATGATGATGACATTGTTCTTGGTGTTTTATCTCACCCTGCACTCCCATGGTCCCAAATAAGTTTCATCCGTTACGAAAGCATAGTTTCCCGGGGGGTGGTTAATATCAGGGGGAAGGATTGGTTAGAAACCAAACATCCACTGGCATTTAGTTGTGAATAAACTTGTCACGCCAGACAAATCAGCCAAGCTGCTGGTTTCTCTAGAGTTGCTGTCATGCTCGGACCTGCTGTCTGCGTCTGCGTCTGCGTCTGCGTCTGCTGCCGCTGCTGCCGCTGCTGCTGCTGCTGCCGGTGCTGCTGCTGCTGCTGCTGCTTCTGCTGCTGCTGCTGTTGCTGCCGCTGCTGCTGCTGTTGCTGCCGCTGCTGCTGCTGCTGCTGTTGCTGCCAGTGCTGTGCGTAAAGTGCCCGCGAACCGCCAGACCTCAATGCTGAATGCAAATACCCAAAAAACTGCTTCCAAACGCATGCTGCTTTTGCATGCTTTTGCCTCTTCCACAGACTAATGACTAAGCAAGCATTCCTCATTTCGTCAGTGAAACAAATCACCCCAAATCTCTCCTGTGAAACCTATAGCGGTCAGACGTATCTGAACAAATGTCATGACTCACAACACAGGCAAAATGTCTGGCTCATTGCAGGTAATTGCGATTAAAACATAGGAAATTGCAGACAAAATGCAGGCTCTCAAGGATAGGGTGTGCAGCGAGAATCTAAACATATTGTGCAAATGTAGTTTTCCCTCCCTGTTTCGAGAACCTACTCCAACATGAACTGTCAATATCTATCAATTGAATACGTATCAATATACCTTTCAAAATGTATGCGTATTATATCTACATATATCACGTACGTATATACATGAATGATTCTTGACCGGAATACAGGCTAAGGGTAGCGCTTCAGATGCCAAGCCGAAGTCTGATCTTTGGCAGAATTGGCTTCTGCATGAACCTGGCATTTGTTGCAGAAGAACAAAAATCACAAGCCGGACTATCGCATACCCAATCAATACAAACAGTGCCGGACAGAGAAAACATATGTTGACAGAACACATCCGGAATTGAATCGTGCACGATATCGTGGTTTAAGCAAGAAAACAGACATGCAAGAATGTCTAGCGTAAAAGGATACATACATTGACATGCATAACATCAGATAACATTACTTGAGATTACTTACATAACTTTGCATTACACTACACAGCACTGCACTACATACATATACCTATATACATGCATTACATACGCACATACACACACAAATATACATATAATATGACATCATATGAGTGCATATGGGCGATCTTTCGAGTCTGACCAACATATGCGAACCTCCATGAACCTGCATGTTTATAATCATGTTTATACTTGCAGACGTGCCACAAACTAAATGCATGTACAAAGCAAAACATACAGTCATACAGATACAAATGCATGCCAGTTGCACTTGTTTCATGTTCATTTTTGTTCTGGGATTTCTTGGCCAGTACCACGAAGCGACAGACTATTCACTCAACTTTGTGCTTCATGAGAGTATCATGAGCACGCGCTTTGTTTGTCAATGACCTGGCCATGCAACTCACCCATGAAATCAGCCAAGCTGCGCTTTTCTCTGGAGTTGCTGTGACGGGAGTTGCTGTGATGGAAGTTGCTGTGGTGCTCTGAGCTTTTGTGTGCTTTGCCTGCGCTCCACCCGACCTCAATGCGGTCAAACGGTCAGATCATCAATGCAAAGACACCCACACAGTGACTGAATGCAAATGCTCGAAAAACTGCTTCCAAACACATGCTGTTTTTGCCTCTTCCACAGACTAATGACTAAGCAAACATTCCTCATTTCGTCAGTGAAACAAATCACCCCAAATCTCTCCTGTGAAACCTATAGCGGTCAGACGTATCTGAACAAATGTCATGACTCACGACACAGGAAAAATATCTGACTCTTGGCAGGTAATTCCCACTATAAAACATAGGAAATTGCAAACAACATGCAGGCTCTTAAGGATAGGGTGTGTAGCGAGAAATCTAAACATATTGTGCAAATGCATTTTCCCTGCATGTTTCGAGCACCTACTCCAACGTGAACTGTCAATATCTGTCAATTATAAATATGTATCAATATACCTTTCAAAATGTATGTGTCTTATATCTACATATATCACGTACATATATGTATACATGAATGATTCTTCACCGGAACACAGGCTAAGGGTAGCGCTTCAGATGCCTAGCCGAAGTCTGATCTTTGGCAGAATTGGCTTCTGCATGAACCTGGCATTTGTTGCAGAAGAACAAAAATCACAAGCCGGACTATCGCATACCCAATCAATACAAACAGTGCCGGACAGAGAAAACATATGTTGACAGAACACATCCGGAATTGAATCGTGCACGATATCGTGGTTTAAGCAAGAAAACAGACATGCAAGAATGTCTAGCGTAAAAGGATACATACATTGACATGCATAACATTAGATAACATTACTTGAGATTACTTGTATAACTTTGCATTACACTACACAGCACTGCACTACATACATATACCTATATACATGCATTACATACGTACATACACACACAAATATATATATATATAATATATTATAATATGACATCATATGAGTGCATATGGGCGATCTTTCGAGTCTGACCAACATATGCGAACCTCCATGTACCTGCATGTTTATAATCATGTTTATACTTACAGACGTGCCACAAAATAAATGCATGTACAAAGCAAAACATACAGTCATATAGATGCCAATGCATGCCAGTTGCACTTGTTTCATGTTCATTTCTGTTCTGGGATTTTCTTGGCCAATACCACGAAGCGACAGACTATTCACTCAACTTTGTGCTTCATGAGAGTATCATGAGCACGCGCTTTGTTTGTCAATGACCTGGCCATGCAACTCACCCATGAAATCAGCCAAGCTGCGCTTTTCTCTGGAGTTGCTGTGACGGGAGTTGCTGTGATGGAAGTTGCTGTGGTGCTCTGAGCTTTTGTGTGCTTTGCCTGCGCTCCACCCGACCTCAATGCGGTCAAACGGTCAGATCATCAATGCAAAGACACCCACACAGTGACTGAATGCAAATGCTCGAAAAACTGCTTCCAAACACATGCTGTTTTTGCCTCTTCCACAGACTAATGACTAAGCAAACATTCCTCATTTCGTCAGTGAAACAAATCACCCCAAATCTCTCCTGTGAAACCTATAGCGGTCAGACGTATCTGAACAAATGTCATGACTCACGACACAGGAAAAATATCTGACTCTTGGCAGGTAATTCCCACTATAAAACATAGGAAATTGCAAACAACATGCAGGCTCTTAAGGATAGGGTGTGTAGCGAGAAATCTAAACATACTGTGCAAATGCATTTTCCCTCCCTGTTTCGATGAACTGTCAATATCTATCAATTGAATACGTATCAATATACCTTTCAAAATGTATGCGTATTATATCTACATATATCACGTACGTATATACATGAATGATTCTTGACCGGAATACAGGCTAAGGGTAGCGCTTCAGATGCCAAGCCGAAGTCTGATCTTTGGCAGAATTGGCTTCTGCATGAACCTGGCATTTGTTGCAGAAGAACAAAAATCACAAGCCAGACTATCGCATACCCAATCAATACAGACAGTGCCGGACAGAGAAAACATATGTTGACAGAACACATCCGGAATTGAATCGTGCACGATATCGTGGTTTAAGCAAGAAAACAGACATGCAAGAATGTCTAGCGTAAAAGGATACATACATTGACATGCATAACATTAGGTAACATTACTTGAGATTACTTATATAACTTTGCATTACACTACACAGCACTGCACTACATACATATACCTATATACATGCATTACATACGCACATACACACACAAATATATATATATAATATATTATAATATGACATCATATGAGTGCATATGGGCGATCTTTCGAGTCTGACCAACATATGCGAACCTTCATGAACCTGCATGTTTATAATCATGTTTATACTTACAGACGTGCCACAAACTAAATGCATGTACAAAGCAAAACATACAGTCATATAGATGCCAATGCATGCCAGTTGCACTTGTTTCATGTTCATTTCTGTTCTGGGATTTTCTTGGCCAATACCACGAAGCGACAGACTATTCACTCAACTTTGTGCTTCATGAGAGTATCATGAGCACGCGCTTTGTTTGACAATGACCTGGCCATGCAACTCACCCATGAAATCAGCCAAGCTGCGCTTTTCTCTGGAGTTGCTGTGACGGGAGTTGCTGTGATGGATGTTGCTGTGGTGCTCTGAGCTTTTGTGTGCTTTGCCTGCGCTCCACCCGACCTCAATGCGGTCTATGTCAACGCAGAGCCCCGCGACCCCACATGGTGTCTGATTGCAAATGGCCGTTTCTTCCTTCTATAGCCTACTGACAAAGTGAGTCTGCTCATCTCTGACTGATTCAGCAAACAAAATGACCCTCAATCTCTTCATGTTCGTACTACTTGGCAAGTGCATGTTGTCCAAAAAAACATGATTCATCAGCGAGCTCTCAGAACATTGGGATACCGTCATCCCGGTACTTTTTGAGCATGCTGCATTCCACTATTCGTAACCGCATCCTTTAAATATCCTCGTGCATCTGCTTGTTACATCTTGTTAAATTATGAATGTTTATTATATTCAACCTGCGCAAGAGCTTGAGTGCCGTGCTTTGTTGCGCCTTTGGAAGACAAAGTTTCCTTGGCATTGCAGTTTCAGAAGGCGCCCAATCATAATCCTCGGGCATGGTTTTGCCATCAACTACCGCAAAAATTGGTTTATCCTTGCTGATCCTTTCTCAAAAATCTTAGTTTGGTGGTTCATATTCCATCATATCCCAGATTTTTGATTCTTATTTCAATGGATTGGTTTTTCGGGAAATCAACTGAAAACCATATGGTTTTAACATGTTTTTACCCATCAAATATAGTAAATATAGGGGGGTTCCTGTAAATTTTTCATATGTTTCCATCATCCAATTCTATGATTATTGCCAGTTGATCACTGCCAAGGCTCTGGTTTTTCCAGTCCAGGATCGGCTGCAAGTGCCGCCAGTTTGGTGCGCGCCACGTTGGACCTGCCACGTTTGGGGAGGATGAGGACCGCGGGGGCCATCCAGGAAGGTGGGGCGAAGGTGGGCTAAAACGAAGAAAAATAAGGACTTGACCATTAAAAAATGATAATAATTATGCATAATTATATATTATACGATATTACATATATATATGCCTTTGTGTGTGTGTGTGCTCTTATCATGAAAAATTAGGAGTTGAAGAATGCGATGACACCAAAAGGAAACTATAGAAAGGCTGTGACTCTCAGTAAGCCTCTGGTGGTTGAACTGAGTGTTCAAGCGTGTCATGCAGCAGAATATCAAAAAACATGTTGGTGATGGTTGTGAGCTGCACCGGCTTGCCATTGCGGCTGCCAGTATGGAAAGAAGATGAAAGAAGCGAATTGCAATCCATCGAAACCATGTGCCAAAAGCAAAGATAAACATATCCATGACGTTTGGATACATTGGGACGTTGTTGGCTTTCAGCCCGATCATGCACTAGGCACTATTTGCAGGGCAAAGCTAAAACGTGCATCTAAACGGCTAAGATACTGAAATTCCCAACGTTGCAGCTGCCAACTGAGAGGCTGACGGTGAAGGAGCTAGCACTCCAGAGGCTGACGAGGGAGGTTCTTCGCATCTCTCTTTGGGCGCAGGGGATAGCAGCTTGGCCTGCACAACTACGAGTACAACATGCTTGATATTACTAGCCGACTAGCCGAGCCGGTTTGGTGGAAACTCCATGGAAAATATGGAAGCGACACTTCCAAATGGCCACGTTGCACCCCATTTTCGCCATGCTGCCTCTTCCACCGTGATCTTAGCCGATTCCGCAGCTGTCGGCAACCTGCCAAGGCGGGAAACCTACGGGGCTCCATGATGACCCACATCCAAAACTCGGCCGCAAAGCTGACTGGGTTGGCAGCCACGTTGCATCAATTCCCAGCAGATCCCAGCAGCTACTGAGAAGCTGGCGGTGAAGGAGTTGCCGAGGACGGGGGAGAAGCTGCTTTGCTGCATCTCTCCTTGGACGTGCTGCAAGGTTTGGGGGCCTCACTCCAATTCCAATGTCCTTTAACTCACAATGCCTCAAAGCTCACAATTTCAAAGGTTGCATCCCCGCAAAACAAAAAAAAACAGACATTCACCAGAACACACACAACATCCCAAAACGGCAGACAACAGGAACAACTCCAGGCGCCCCATTTTCCATCGCCATGCTGCCTCTTCCGCCTTGATCTCGGCTGATTCAGCAGCTGTCGGCAACTCCAGCCTGGGTGCGGCACATCACCGATACCGCAGAGATGCTGAAGGTTGGCCTCTGACATGGCTTTGGGTCAAAATTGAGTACCCCCAATAATTGGATGGTTAATACATGTTACCCTCTGGTAAACTAACATAGCTATGGAAAATCACAATGTTTCATGGGAAAATTCACCATAAATGGCCATGTTCAATAGCTATGTTAAATTACCAGAGGGTAATACATGTTAATACTATAGAAAATGATTAACATCCTCCAAAAAGGGGTCTTCAAAATCGACCCACAAATCTCCAAGCTGCAAAATCCAGCTTGGTGGATGTCCTCTTCCAACACATCCCAACACATCCCAGCACATCCCAACGCATTGGTTTGTGGAAATTCCCCAAAAATGACCTGGCTCCTCACCACTTGAGCATTTTTCAAAACACATTAGCACCTTCTGCCATTCCACTATACTGTACTGGTTCAGAACGGGATTCCCAGTTCGGGATGATCATCCCCAGAATAACGCAGTAGAATCACTAAAAAAATCCCCTATCTCATCAACAAACCATCATTTATCAGTTATAGTTATATAGTTATATTCACTTATATCCCCATTCATGTTGATGCTTTGATAAAACTCCTATGAACTATTTTTTGAAGCATCAACAAGGCTTCTGAACACAGGTCCCTTGAATCCACGGTGCTTCTGCTCATTGCTGGGTGGTCTTTCGGTCTCTGGAGCGTCTGGCACCTGGACGCCCGATCGTGCCAGGATTTGAGGTGAGTCACACTGGCGGAATCGACATCTTTTTGTGGAAAGATCTGTTATGTAGATATGTAGATGTAAATACTAGATTCACTAGATATATTAGAGATTAGATAGTAGATGATAGGTAGTTCCCGGATACTGAACTATTTGATAATATATCTGAAAATAATACTGTATAATACTGTTATATATCGAACATCATCGAACGATTTTTATCGAACCATGACTGGGACCACATTTTTTCCTTGGTAATCGGATGTAATTTGGGCTAGCGGCTGGCTAGCTATTAACTTGGTGGCGTTGGCCCAGCTACTCCATGACCACTCAGCTGACAGGACAAAAATCTCCGTGGGAGACCACTGCCAACGCAGCGGAACTCATTCGAAGTGCTAGATGAGCATCCCGTCAACTGTGGTGAGCTGGTCATTTAGACATGGAAGTACCAGGTGCGTCCATCATGATATGTAGTATATATATATATACATATAATTTATGTGTTCAATTATTTATTTAATATATTTATTTACATATATTTACTTATATCTATTTATTTATTTAATCATTTATTTATTCATTTTTTAATTCTATTTATTTACTTACAAATTGTAGTACAGTATTTGTTTGTACTTTTGGATTTAAACTTGAGGTTGAAGCGCAGGAATCGAACTTTGATGGTCTTACAACACAACCACTGGCCGACATCGAACAACGATGAGGTGTTGTGCGGCTGTGTTTAATGCATCATCTACATGTTCCATTAATCTTCGCATCTTCAAATAAATACATAGGTTGACTACGGACACATATAATACATTATAATACCATTATAAATATGTTTACATACACATGTACATATAAATTTAAATACTTTACTTATCAATTTCTATCACCAGCCCATGTCTACGAACGCGCTCTTACCAGATGATTCAGATGAATGCAGTATCCATTTATGCTGCTAGAGAAGTCTGCCACCACCGTTGACAAGGACCTCGTGCCGCCTTAGGCGGCACTTTTTTTGATCATCTGCGTGGTTTCACCATTCGATGGCTTGCCGTTTCGACACGAAACACCGGTGCACCGGGTTCCAAACAAGTTTGCAGAATCACCAAAGATCATAGGAAAATTCCAATTTAGCATCATTTAGCTGTTTCATGTTGGTTTTCCTCAAGGGTTTAACTGATTTGGGCCCAACAAAAACCATGAAATCTCTCCCTTCAGTTGGCATGTTGTTTCGATATATTTTTTCTTAACCAATCGTTGCGCAGCACGGCCGTTGACCTGCCGGGTGCGGCTCAGTCCTTCCCCAAGAAATTCACGAAGCTCGGGGGGGTCCTCCGGGGCAGCTGCTGTTCCAAGGCTTCGGCCAGGCGCAACAGGACGGGCTCCTGCCACTGGTCACCTGTACCAAAGGCACGGAAACATTGGCTCAGCGATTTTGACTTTATTCATCTTTTTTGGGGTGTACATATGTAGTTATATATATATTTTGTAATCTATATATATACATATGGTTATTATATATATATTAGATATAATATATAATATATAATATATAATATATAATATATAATATATAATATATAATATATATTATATAATATATAATATATAATATATATTATATATAATATATATTATATAATATATAATATATAATATATAATATATAATATATAATATATATATATATATATATATAATATATATATATATGGTCACCGACAGAATTATGGAAAAAAATAAAACGTTCAACTTAGACAGGCGGCGCCTGCGTCCGATTTTTCCATAATGGGATTTTTCCCCATAAGGGTGATCCGAACCTTTTTTTTTCCATAATTCTTGGAGGTGGTCATTATTTCCATAATTGATTTTTCCTGTGAAATCAGGGGGCTAGGGCAGATTGACCGGTTTTTTCCATAATTATTTTTTCCATAATTAATGTTTGGGGCTCCACCTGTTGGACATGTCATGGATCCACAATTCAAACCCCTTTTTTTTGGTGGTTATGGAAATATGTATGCAAATGCAAGTATGTAGTATCAACCCAATTGGTGGCTTGGCAAAAGGAAACATCCAGATATTATGTATATCAATGGCAGGCTTTAGGGGCATATACCAGATCTTTAGACACATATTTTCTATAATTCAATATTCCCCCTTAAAATGCATTCAAATTGCGAATCGATGGACATACAGTCACCGACAGAATTATGGAAAAAAAATAATTATGGAAACAATAATTATGGAAAAAAAACGGTTCGTAACTTTTCTATCATAGACAGGCGGCGCCTGTAAATTGAAACGTGTTTTTTTTCCATAATTCTGTCGGTGACTGTAATATGTAATATATAATATATAATATAGAATATAGAATATATAATATATATTATATAATATATAATATATAATATATAATATATAATATATATTATATAATATATAATATATAATATATAATATATAATATATAATATATAATATATAATATATAATATAGTATTATATATATATATATATTAGTGCTCTATCCTGGTCTCCTATCTCGAGTCCGCATGCCCAACATGCCCCATGGGTAGTTCCCGCGCCTAAGATATGAAGACCGATCGGAATGCTGGTCCCTTCATCGTAGCCCACTGGAATGCTGATGCCAGGGAAACCACAAAGATTTCCCAGGAAAATGTATTTCCTTGTGCCGTCACGATGATTGGATAATAACATACAGTCAGATATGGTATATTCTAGTCTGAAATCTTAAGCCAAGCTGGAACGATAGAACATGGCCGTCCAGCTATGCAGCTGGGATAACATTGAGATCTTCTGTGACGGTCAAATAGGCAAAGCCTAAAGGTGGTCAGTCATTGTCATGCAGAAATTGGAAACCACCTATATTGGACACCCCATTATCCCCCATTCCAAAGAGGAATTTAACTGGATGATAATCCCGTGATGGGTTGATTACCAATCTGTAAACTAACATGCTAGTAGATGTCGAAAACCCACCATTTATAGATTATTCTCCTAGGGAAACCATGGGGTTTTCCACATTTATGTTTTAGAAAGACTAAAAAATCATTTAGGTATTGCACATGTTATTCTAGAATTAAACTCTAACCCAAATAATAATGAAACAGTTGTACAATTAACCCTGGGGATATCCTAGGGTTCGCCAATCATTTCCGGGGGAACAGCTGCTTTCAGCCAAGCTTCATCAGTTTCAAGAGGAGCGGCGTATTGCTTTCGCCCCAGCGAAGCGCCGCCGGAGGAATCTCGGGCGGTGTGACGCCCACAGTGGGAGTGACGATCCCAGAGATTTTCAACTTCTTGAAAATCTCCTCAGGACAATGGCGATTGAATGATATCTAATGATGATTTAACCAATGGTGGTTTAACCAATGGCGATTTAACCAACAAACATGGTGATTTAATGGTATTTAACCCATTAATGGTGATCATAACATGATTTAATCATAACCATTAATGATCTATTATGATCTATTATGATCTATTATGATCTATTATGATATATTATGATATATTATGATATATTATGATATATTATGATATATTATGATTTTTCTTATGATATATTATGATTTTTCTTATGATATATTATGATATATGATGATATATTATGATTTTTCTTATGATATATTATGATTTTTCTTATGATATATTATGATATATTATGATGTTTTCTTATGATCTATTATGATATATTATGATTTTTCTTATGATATATGATGATATATTATGATTGTTCTTATGATATATTATGATATATTATGATTTTTCTTATGATATATGATGATATATTATGATTTTTTCTTATGATCTATTATGATCTATTATGATCTATTATGATCTATTATGATATATTATGATATATTATGATATATTATGATATATTATGATATATTATGATATATTATGATATATTATGATATATTATGATATATTATGATTTTTCTTATGATATATTATGATATATGATGATATATTATGATTTTTCTTATGGTATATTATGATTTTTCTTATGATATATTATGATATATTATGATTTTTCTTATGATATATTATGATATATTATGATATCTAATCTGGTGGGTGGTATACCTACCCCTCTGAAAAATATGAAAGTCAGTTGGGATTATGAACTTCCCAATATTTGGAAGAATAAAATTCATGTTCCAAACCACCAACCATTTCATGATATCTAATGATATTTAATGGTGATTTAACCAACAAACACGGTGATGTGAAGGGATTTGCGTGGTTATGGCTATGGCGGCTATGGGAAGTCATGGGGAATCATGGGATTTTTTACCAAGCATAGGGATGATAGGGGATTCAGTGACTCAGTTGGTCACACTGTGATGACACATATGAATAATATGAAAGTCAATGGGAAGGATTATCTCATATATTATGGAAAATAAAAAATGTTTGAAACCACCAACCAGATGACATCTGACAAACAAAACGTTTGGGGCTGTCTGAGCCCCGGTGATACATGGTGATACATCCAGGAATCATCCTGATCCAACTGACTCACAGCTGCACCTTACAGATCCTTACAGTGTCACCAGTCCCCGGCACCGCTCCTGGCGGATGTGTTTCACCGCCCAACCTCGGAGCATATTCCCTGACTGAATTTCCACCGCGCCCATCGAAATTCCCAAGGCGAATTGGATGCGGGTGGATGGCTCCAGTTGGTGCTTGTTGTGCAACAAATCCTCGCGAGTTGGTGCCGTAAGGTGGTCGAACTGGGTGGTTACCATGGGATGAACCACGCGCTTTTAAGCGTATGCCGTAGGTTTTTTTGGGATTTTTTTGGGGATGTACTGGATGGTTTTTTTGGCCGAGCTTCGCCCAGAATGGTGCTGATCTCGGCTGAAACCACAAGGCCATGGGCCACC